TCCGAGTATAAAAGCCATATTACTTCGTAGAACTCTGAGGACTAACTGTCAGTAGGTTGAGTGGTATCCTATCCTGTTGAGCCATATCGTTGACATCGTCATTATTGATAGGCACTTGATTTCATGCAACAAGTTTGTTAAAGTGATTTGTCAGACTTTGAGGATCCACCGCAGCACCCTCAGCTCCAAACTTGTGTCTCCTCAGGTAAAAGAAGAAGTCAATTCATCAGAAGACTTTATGCACGTACGTCTAAGTATAAAAATTCCACTATACCATATTTTGTGTCACGTACTTTATGTGATGCAATTCGTGTTAAGCATGAACTAAATGACCTTCTTTGCACTACTAAATAAACCATTTTCTCCATTCTTATTTCACCAAGCTTTATTGTTTTTGTACTTCTTTTATTTACAATCATCTCAATTTTTTTGTTTTGATTTGTTTATTTTTTCATAAATGTGAACATCATTTAAGCTGTGTGAATAACTGTTAATTTTGTATTTCCCCTCACTATACTACATCAACAGAATGTTAGATTCAATACTCTATAAGACGTTGGAATTTCCAAATTGAATCGACAATGCTGTTTGAAACAAACTCACTGTTATTATTATTATTACATTTATTATTCTCAGTTTGTACTTCGAATATTTTTGACTTAATATCGTAAATGTGGATGAATTCCTCTGCTTGATTTTATTTTAATTTTTTAATTTCATTTATATTTTGTATAAATCAAATGCAATATTATGACAGATGATAAGAATTTCATTCTGTTTAACAAGTACTGTTTTTAGAATAAAGTATATTATTATTATTATTCAACAGCACCTCTCCAGTTTGTCCCGTTTTCTCTACAGTCCTCCCATTCTCGCCCCATGATTGTCTATGGTCTCTCATCTCCTCCTCACATGATCTCCTACATGTCTTAGTCGGACGCCTCACTCGTCCTTTCCTTTTCAGGTTCCACTGGAGAATATGTTTCTAGCACGTGATGACACTCAATGGTCTCCTCAAACTGTGCCCAATCCATCTCCCATAATTCCTTAATGGTAATTCTTTCTGGCTGGTCATTTGATCTTTACTACAGACCCAGTGAAGGCAGCTGTTGGTAAAATGTCTGCATTGGCCTGTTCGAAATGTGATTTCATCCTAGTTTGGGACTCCTCAACAGTACGCGCCCACCAGAGTTCGAATCGACGACCCTCTGGTTACAAGGCTAGCGACCTGGTAGACCATTGAGCCATTGGGACCCAATCCAAGGAATTCTAACTTCTGCGAATTCCCGACACAGTGTGACCGCTAGCCAATGTCTTAGGCGAGTATTTGTCCTTACACTCAACCTGCTGCACTCTACTGCTCAGGACTTTCCACTAGAACCGAGGTGACTACCTACCTGGATAGAGCCAGTCACCAGTGAGCATCTCATCGGTATTCAAGTATTCAAGCCGAAGAGACCCAAACTAGGACGAAACAGCTTTCCAATACTCCCCACAGGTATTCCAATAGTTCTCTAACCAATTTCAGCTCATGATGAGGTCCTATAACCAATCTACCTGATTTCAGGGTGTTGAACGAGAACATTTTCTTTAAATTTCTGGCTTTGATATCTTCATCCCTGCCGCGTATCTGCGGTTGAAACGATACCTCCTAGATAAGTGAAGTAGATGATCTCTTTCAAAATTCTTCTGTTGATAGTGATTGGTGCTGGCTGCCGTTGTTGTTGTTGTTGGTAGGTGTGTCTCTTCATCACCTTCGTCTTCTATACTTCTTCAGCTGGTTTGTTGGTTTTTGCCTGTAAATCTCCGCATTTTTGTGACATTAGTAATAAATCACCCGCCATTTCCAGATCTTCTAGAGTCTTCTTATTTTTCCAGCGTATCCCTATCTTCCAATTCTCCACGAATGACGTCCCGCATAATCCAACCCACCACCACAATTAAGAATATCATCGGTGATAATAGGCAGTCTTGTCTGTCTTACTCATGTCTTCACTTCAAGTGCATGAATAATTCTTATGTAGGTATTAATGAAAAACATAACAAATAGTTCAGCGGAAAGGCTCTTTTCAGCGAATTTATTTTCTTTAGCTATACTGTTGCATTTATATTATTATTATATCCTTTAATTCCTAGAGGAACATAGGGCTTCAGCTGCGCACCTCCATTGACTTCGGTTTTCTGACAACTTTTTCACCCCGCTCCAGGTCTGTCCACATGCTTTCATCTCCTCCTCGCATGACCTCCTCCAAGTCACCCTTGCACTGACGACCAACTCGCCGCCTCCCTTTCGGGTTCCACTCGAGCAATGGCTTGTCTAGTGATGTCACTTGATGGTTTCCTCAGAGTATGGCCAGCCAATCCATCTCCATTTCTTCCTGCATATTTGTTTCACAATCGGTTCCTGATTGGTTCGCTCCCAGAGATCCCTGTTGCTGATCTTTTCTGGCCATCTGATCTTGAGTATTGAGCAAAGACAGCTGTTGATGAAGGTCTGAAGTTTGTTTGAGATGCTCTTTATGACGCGCAGTGCAAGTCTCTGATCTGCATAGTAGCACTGACTGACTTCACATTGGAGTTGAAAATCCGGATCCTCTTTTTCATGCTGAGGAGTTCTGCTGACCTCCTGCACACAGACTTAAGGGTAATAAAAGCCTGTCTTGCTTTTCCGATTCTGGCTTTGATATCCTCGTCAGTTCCACCTGTGGTTGAAACGATGCTTCCCAGGTAGGTAGGTGAAGGAGGTTGTTTCTTTCAGGTTCCTCCCATTTATGCTGATTGTCGCATTTATATACAATATCCTTATGAGAAAATCTGTAACATCTTTGAGAACATCCCCAGCAGCAACGCTAAGATTGATATTGTCCAGTTATCCACTGGTGTTCAGAATGCTTGAAGACAAGACCTCGCTTCTTACCTCTTCACCCGCTCTAGTGGACCTAGATACATTAGTCTTTCGACGCGTTTGTTGTCTAAAAGTCCTGAAGAACACTATCCTGAATGGTTGCAGTAAAACAGTAGTGGCTCTGTAAGCAGCGGGATAATTAAATACCGCGTCAGTACTGGTCGTTCCATCTCAACAAATACCTTCTCCAAAGTAATTATGAAAATAAAAAATAACCGATTAAAAATTTTCAAAAGAATGGATACTGAACAAGGAGTACTCTTTTGAATAACTTCATCGTCAGGCCCTACAGTTATATATACACATAATAGTGAATGAATGAATAAGTGCTAATTATAATAAAATCGAATCAATAATATTGATAGATTACAGCTCAATAGGGTCAACACAAAATAAGCTGAATGTCACAAAAATTAGTAATAATTGCGACGAAATTTAAAAAAATCAGTTCAATGAACTTTAATGCTGGTAAACTTCACGTCTTATTCTCTACAAGACCGATGGTGTTGCCTCGACTGAAAGATGAAGTGCCTAGACTAGACTAGCCACGTCAAATTGTATCTACCAATTCAAATGAGATGATGGTGGGGTGAGTTATATTGGCCGTTGCTCTAGGAACTTGATTTTTCATGCTCACTCGAGAACATCTATCACTATGGCTAACTAAAGGTGAAGTGAAAACCATTAACAGTTCGATATTGGACTCTCTGGTCCAAACCGGCCACAAAGGCAGCCAGGATTGAAGAATCCTCCTCCACAATCATCTACCGGGTGCCTAATAAATTGCCAAAATCATCTAAGCACCTCATGCTCCGAACAGCAGAGTCTATTGCAATTCGCCTCAAACAACCAGTGCTCTGTGTTCAAAAGAAGCAAGTCCAGCCAGCCCCTACTACTGCCCTGGCCGGCCTTCAGTAGAGACTATAAATTCATGAATTTGTAATATTACCTTTCCTAATTTTTCTCACATTCAGTCCATTTTATGTTGATGCTACTGAGCTGTAATCTATCAATATTATCGATTTGATGTCATTTAACTCCAATGTGAAGTCAGTGCTACTATACGGATCAGAGACTTGGCGAGTCATAAAGAGCATCTCAAACAAACTTCAAACCTTCATTAACAACTGTCTCCGCTCAATACTCAAGATCAGATGGCCAGAAAAGATCAGCAACAGGGATCTCTGGGAGCGAACCAATCAGGAACCGATTGTGAAACAAATATGCAGGAAGAAATGGAGATGGATTGGCTGGCCATACTCTGAGGAAACCATCAAGTGACATCACTAGACAAGCCATTGCTCGAGTGGAACCCGAAAGGGAGGCGGCGAGTTGGTCGTCAGTGCAAGGGTGACTTGGAGGAGGTCATGCGAGGAGGAGATGAAAGCATGTGGACAGACCTGGAGCGGGGTGAAAAAGTTGTCAGAAAACCGAAGTCAATGGAGGTGCGCAGCTGAAGCCCTATGTTCCTCTAGGAACTAAAGGTTACAATAATAATAATAATGATGTCATTTAAACGTTATTGTTGTTCATAACACAAATTCATTCATTCACTATTATGTGTACATATAACAATAGAGCCTGATGATGAAGTTATTCAAAAGAGTACTCTTTGTTCAGTAGCCATTCTTTTAAAATAATAACCTGCCCAAAGGCAATACTCCTTCGCATTGGTAATGTTCCTAGCCACTTAAACACACCGGAGCTTTTCATAAAAAGGTGATTATTTAACCTTGTTCTACTGTCATGACAACAATCCTGTTGACTTCTACTAGCTTGATTTTTGTATGTTCGTTTTCTAATTCCTCCTAACTCTCGTATTTCTTTAGAAGTCTTACATAATTCCGCATTCTTCTTCGTTTCTTCTATGTTCATCCTGATTATGAGCCCATTCATTTAATTATTCAGTTTATCATGTAACTCTAATACACCAATTCAACACCTTTTATGATGTGGTTAGCAGGATGGAGCTCTCGATTAGTTATCCGGAATCGGTGGGTTCGAATCCTCCTGCAAACCAAATTTTCTTTTTTTCTTGTTATGCACAGACAAACGATTTAACCGCCATACATTTCTGTTTTTTTAATTCAAAAAGACTGAAGACGAGGCAGTGAGATGTATTCAGAAAAATGCAAAGGTTATGTTTGATCCTTGGTTCCGTTTAATGCTGGCCCTGAAACCGTTAATTCGTACACATCGTGCAGAAGAGGAATTACTTTTCCTTAGAGTAAGTTTGTTGTTGTTGTTTTTGTAAATTGTAGCTGTTTTTATCGAGTACCTATACTCAATTTTTAACCGTAAGATTGATGAAACTTGAAGTTAGTTACTGAAGAATTTCTTGAATCGAATTTTAGATCTATTAACGGTGTACTCTGCACACCACAGGATCGAATCAATAAGATTGAACAGTCGAACAAGCAAGACAAAAATTATTTAGCGCAACTATTAGCCGGTGTCATGGGTGATAAACTTGTCCTCTTGCCTGACTTGGTGTAACCCGGTGGTTGTGACTTCTCGTTAGTATCTCTAGCTAATGTCCTGCCTAAGGAATGAGCATCAGATTAATTGTCAAGTGTGTCAAGTTTGCAGAGATTTGACTGGTTACTAGCTGACATCAGTTAGAGAACCACTGGATTTGGCAGAAGGTGCGATTCACTTGTGTACAAGCTCATCTCATAACCGGTGAGTGAGTACTGCAGAAGAGTTTCAAGGGACGACGACGAAACAGCTGCCAAGTAATCTTTAAGGGTTTCTGATGGTTTACTACCTAATGTAAGCAAGTCAGCACTTGACACAAATTTACCCTTGAGACAGTGTCAGTCAGATTTAGATATGATGGAGAAGATGTGTAGCTCACGTGGATGATTTTGATGTGGTCGTGTTCTCTGAATTCGATAGTTAATTTGCGAAGCTTTCACAGCCCCAACACTAGGCAACATCTTCAGCGGATACCACAATTCGATGAAGTAAGCTTTTAGATTTCTCCAAGAGTTTATTAATCATCACTCCTGGTAGGTGGCCTTGAGCGTGATTGATTGTTTTTGTATATTTTCGCGCCCTCTAGGCTACTTGTATTGGAACTGGTTGTTTCCTTGAATTGAACTTTTACCCTATGTGTGTGAGGTTTCTTTCTTATCGGTTGATAAATTTCGTCATTCTCGATGTGTCTATTATTTGATGATTCACTGGAATACCAGGCTGGCTTCTAAACAATCTCTAGCATTCATGGTGTTTCCTCTGTCTGATATTTGAACGCTGGTTGTCTCAGTCGAATTGATGTCCATGGTTGTCTGTATGTAACAACAGAAGACAAGGGCCAGTCAACAGATCGTTTTATTACGAAAATCAACACGTATTTATATAAATTTCACATACATTATTATAGCCTAGTCAAGCAGTCTTCTGAGTGGTTGTTTTCGAGTTCTTCGGAAAGTGGAGCCATCTATCTGCGAATCATATTCGCCCACGTTTAAGTTTCTTGTGATTGGTTGTTGAAACAGCCTTGTTCATATTTTCTCACGGTCCATATTAGTGATCTAGACATTGACGTAGATTAATGTCAACCAATTGGCTAGCAGGCTGCTCTCACCACATGTATGTAGCGACTTAAATGTAAAGGCTTTTGATTTATTCTTCACATCACGTCACATCTCTCAGCCATACAGAACTACTCAATAAGTTGATATTCATGTCGAAAATCCTAATCTTGCTCTATACGCTGATTTTAGAAGATTTCTAAACTCATTTCTGATTAATAAAGGTTTGTATTCACTCTTCTGATCCTGAATGGCTTTGACATCCTCATCTGTGATGGAAAGAAGTGACCTTTTCCGAATTCCTCGAGTTGACAGTGGTTTCTACTTATTGTTGATCGTCTTCTTTTCTCTATGTTCACTTGGAGTCCTGTCTTCGCTGCTTTCCTCTTCTGTCAGTGTCTTGGTTTTCGCCTATAATTCTTCAAATTTGTGTGTAGTACTAGACATATATCATCTGAGAAATCTAAATCTTTGGTGCTCCGGCGTACTTCTCGCTTCTTTTGCACAGTCTGACGCATAATCCAGTTTACCGTCACAATTAAGAATGTCATCTTAGATGATGATAATAATAGGTAGCCAGCTTGTCTTACTCCTGTATTCCGTTGTGGATAACCTCACACTTGGCATTGTCATATAGCCAGATGTTTAATGAAGTTGATGAAGACTTGGATCACTGCACACCGTAGTGTTGAAGTAGTTTTGCGAATTACTTCTTGGTCAACGCTGTCTGTCGAAGCCGTCTTCAAAGTCGATAAATTTGAGTTAGTGAAAGGTTCACTTACCATTCTATGCTTTGTTGTGTGATGACAGTGTGAAGAGTTGCAATTTGATCGGCGCATGATTTGCCTTTCCTGAATCCAGCTTGTTCTAGGGTGTGTGCGGGGGGAGGGGTAGTTCTGTATCCAGTGCACCCGTTATTCTCTCAAGGATGATATGACTTAGTGTATATATCATATATATCATATTTTATTCGCTTCATTGAAAATTGTCTTGTAAATATGATAATTGGCATTCCATTTATTTACTTTTCATTATTTTTAATTTAAACCCACAGAGTGAGCTCGAAAGATATAAAGCTTTGGTTCGTATGCTACGATTTGAAAATGCTGAATACCAAGCAAGAGTGGCTAATTTACTCCACTTGGTAAGTTGAATTATCAATCAAATATTTCTATCAATTCTGTTTACATCCTACTCTTATCTCATTTAAATAAAATGTTAATATCTTCGTTAAAGAGTCACTGGCATTCAGTCTGCTCACCTTAATCACGATTAACCTCTCTCTCTCTCCCTCTGTCGCTCTCTCGTTCTTCATTGTCTTGTGACTCCTTCTAAGAACAAGATGGTGAAGTTTAACAATAGCGTTCCAGGAGTGCGAATGCTCCAGTGACCTTGAAGGCATGCTAGTCGTTGGTTAACGACATTTGTCATTATCCTAGCTGAAATATCAATGCTATTCACAAACTTAGGAGCAAATTTCACCCAGATCACGTTTTTATGTACAGTTTGGACAATGTGTCAATAGCTCGTTAGGGTTAGATTAGGATTAAGGTAAGTATTGCGGTTAGGGTTAAGATCAGGGTTATAATTAGCATTAGGGTTAGAATTATGGTTTGGATAAGGGTTATGATTAGAGTAAAGATTAAGGTTAGGGTTAGTGTTAGGGTCAGGATAAAGCTTATAGTTACGATTAGGCATAGATTTAAGGTTGATGTCATTTATTTTAATTTATTTTACTATCCACGTTTTCCTGCTAAGCAGTCGTCTCTCCTCTTGCTGGAAACCATAATAATTCAACCGAGAGCTGTTTTCGAAGACTGCAAGCAGAATGAGAGAGATAAACAGTTTATCTGTAGTCATCTCAGTGAATACATGTACAGAAACTAGTTTAACTTAGCAACTGATACTCCTCGTTATAACTAGAACCTACTTTTAAGAGGTAACTTGTTTAATGAGTTTTCAAGCTTTTTCTTGTAAATATACATCATTTTTTGAGCAAACATTCCTCTTTTTATGATTGTTCAGCTGAAGATCACTTGTGCGTTCGCGCTCCTGGGACGCTATTGTTGAACTTTGCCAACAAAACATATTTATTTACGACAAGTCCTAAATCACCTGAACAAAAAATATTCTTCCGTTTTTCTTTTATGATTATCTATCGAATAGTGTCGAAAACTACAAGAAAAATTTAGCTATTCATGTTACTGTAGGTTACGTTAAAACTTGCTTCTGAGGGAAGTATTCTCCCAGACAATGCACAAAAGATCAGGGTAATGCTAAAACTATCAAAAAAAGGACTCAATTTCGGAATGTTAACAATGTTATAATCCAAATCAAAATTACTGAAGAGTCCCAAACTAGGACGAAACAGCTGTCCAGTACTCCCAGGTTTTCTAATGTTTCTCTAACTAATGTCAGCTCATGATGAAAATCCTGTAGTCAAATTAAGTTCTTTGTAAGCCATTTACTAAACTCTGTAATCTGTTTGCTTTTTTTAACTTCTATTAGATTTACCTCCGCTGTATGCCTTGGCAACTTTAAGATTTGATCCTTGAACTGTGGACATAAGTGACGCTCATCTTTGAATGCTAGTCTGTATTATTATATTACTACTGTTTCGTTTAGTTCCTAGAAGAACATAGCGCCTTATCCGGATGTCTCCATCACGTTCGGTTTTCTGACGACGTTTTCACCTGGCTCCATATCTGCCCACATGCTTTCATCTCCTCCGTTCGGGTTCCACTCGAGGGTCAGTCTGGTGATGTCACTTGATGATGGTTTGTTTTCTCAGAGTATGGCCAATCCACCTCCATCTCTTCCTGCCTATTTGTTGCACGATCGGTTCCTGGTTGGTTAGGTCCCGGAGATCCCTCCACGTTGCTGATCTTTCCTGGCCATCTGGTCTTGAGTAGTATTGATCGAAGACATCTGTAGTTTGTTCGAAGTGTTCTTTATAAAGCAGCGCCAAGTCTGTGATCCGTATACTAGCACTCACTTCACACTAGAGTCTGGATCCAGTCTGTATAGACTGATAGAATAAACGTTCCTTTATTAAGTTCTTTTGTCTACCTGTAAGCATGAGACTGTGTCAAGAACCATCGAGTGACTGACATAATTTCATTGAATTATTCTTTAATTTAATATCCTTCTCACCGATAGTTGTATTCACAACAACTCAGTGAGACGGACTCAGGCAATCTGTGATAAAAAAATCTCTCTTTTTCGTATTATTATCTAACTTGAAAGAAATATAACCACTGACACTGACTCCGTGTGATCTGAACGCAAGAAACCGATCTCTTTGTCCTAATGTATAGCTGACCGAAAATTCTTTGAGACACATACAGCCACACAACTCTCCAGAGAGAGCGAAAAAAAGACAGTTATTCACCGTTGGATCTATTCACCTTTATTAAATAATGATGACATCACAAACTCAAAAGCACCTCAACAATACAGGCTAGATTAATGTTTAGTACAAAAAAAGTACTGTATTTAACTAAAATTCAACTATAACGAGTACCTCAGGTTCAGTCAAACAAAATCCAATTTTCAAGTATTGGTTTTTTGTAGGGATTTTGTTTGATTGGATGGAGGATTTCATCATCGTCATTATTGTTGTGGAATAAAGTGATTATTATTATTATTATTATCATTTGACTGGCCTTATTCAGGTAGTTAACCTGGGGTTCTAGTGGGAAGCAGTGACCAGTAGGGTACAGCAGGTTGAAGATAAGGCAGTAACTCATCAGAGAAGACATTGCAAAATGGTCAAGCTATGTTGTGAATTCGCGGAAGGTGAAATTCATCGGCTGGCCATCGGATCGAGTCTCAGTGGCTTGACAGTCTACGAGCTAGCTCGCCTTGTAACCAGAAGGTTCTGGGTTCAAAGTCTGGCGGTGGATGCGTAGTGATGAAGACTCTCAAACTAGAATGACAAAACAGATGTCCAGATCTGGTCAATAGATAACATTCAGATATCAGAACAATGAAATATGGTCTAGGAGGAAAAAGGCATAACCTTGATATGATTATGAGCAGTGCATAAATTGTGCACGAAACGTCATCATCAGTAAATATTACTTTACAACAACAATGTATGATTTTATCAAAGTAAATTTTACCCACAATGGACCTACAAAGTGAGTTTAAACAGCTATGTACGTATCAATAATAAGTTCGTTCAGTAGGGATTTCTCAATCAATTTTTCCGGCACATGAAATTTTTTAAGAATTGTTGAGTTCAACTTGCTACTGTACTTCAACAATAAGAAGTTAATTCATGTTAATTCCGTTGTCATTATAAGCTACTCAGAAAAAAAAATATAGACTTGTGTCCGTCTATTGTCGAATGTACTTCTTCGATACCAATCACCAAACTGGAGCCTAAAAATACTCTAAACATTTTGTTTAGCTGGCTGTCTAATCCCTTCCTACAGCTCTGTCTCAATATATTTCCTCGGGTTCATAAGTTGAAACTTGTTAGACTCTTCTGTCATTAATTATTCCCTATTCCAAAGTTAGTTTATCTTTTTTTTCCTTCACGTTCCCAGTGGAACATAGGGCACCTTCAAGCTAGTGGCTTGAAGTTTCTGTAGCAGTGGTATTTATTTTTACAGGATGGGGTTGCTAGCCACCTCATGCCTAACCTTTCCTCTTTACCAGCATTATTTCTGGCTTAGCAAGTAAAGGAGTGCGTTTGCCAAGGATCGAACCCCGAACCATGTGCATGGTAGGCGATCGTCCTAACCGCTGTGTCACTGACGCACATCAGCTGCTGTTGACCACCTGAAATTAAATTAGTTATAAATAATAACATTTCATACTTCAACGTTTGAAAGGTAATAGAGAAAACATTATAAGATGAAAGCATCCAAAATATAAGTATTACAATTTTTAGTTTAATTTACCATCAATTTATATACAATTGATATACTTTTAACTATTGGTTTTGTAGGGATTTTGTTTGATTGGATGGAAGATTCCATTATGAGCTGACATCAGTTACAGAGCCTGGAAATCCTGCAGGGAGTACTGGACAGTTGTCTCCTCCATCCTAGTTTGGGACTCCTTGGTAGTATGCACTCACCACCAGGGTTAAAACCCACGAACTTTTGGTTATAAGGCTAGCGTGCTCGTAGACCATTGAGCCACTGGGATCCAATCCAATGACCAGCCCATGAATTCTAACTTCTGCCAATTCACAACATAGCGTGACCACTAGATAATATCTTTGATGAGATACTGCCTCATCCTCAACCTGCTGTGCCCTATTGGTCACGGCTTCCCACTAGAACCCCAGGTTACTTGCCTGAATAAAGCCAGTCGCCAGTAAGCATCAGATTAATTTTAAAGTATTCGTTTTGTAGGGATTTTTTTTGATTGCCTATCCAGTACTTTCAGGTTTCCAGTGGTTCTTTAAATGATGTCAGCTCATGATGAAATCCTCCATGCAATTCATATACTATCAAACTATGAAAAAAAGGGGAGGCAAGGATGAGAGAAGACAGAAAACAGAAAAATCTAACAAACAGTGTTAGCTTGTACGTCAACATGGCAACTCAAGAAGGTTAAAGTTCATTAAAAAATTTGAAAACTTGCTTAATGAGCTGAGCTCAACTAGCGTGTATAACTAATCAGTGTAATTAAAGTAATACGATTACCAAGGCAGTCGGAGATTGACTACACACTCTCTTTCTGTGTGCATAACTTTGGTCTAAACATTAAATCGTAGTAAATTCTCTGTCCTTCGTATGTTTAACATTTTGAAGAATTTGGAAATCTCGACAAAATGACCCATATCCACATGGTGGGTGTCTGGTATATATCTGCTTTTTTTTAAGTATAAGTTTCTAAGAATATGCTGTGAAAACCAGATATCGTAACCTTCTATGCTGTTTATTGTATTAAAGTTTCTATTTTATTATTATTATTATTATTATTACTGTAGTTAGAACAAATGAGCACGAATGCCTCGAACACGTCGAATGTTCAAAGTTTAGTTCAGCAAGTAAGTTATCTATTGAACAATTAATTTTTTTCAAATATCACCTTATGATTACAAAATTCTTACTACTTTATCGATTATGGATATCGAGTCTAATTGAGCTATGTAGAATGTCATCTATCTGTCTGTTTTCAACATCGAACTTTTCACATATGTGCGGCAGTTAAAGTCGCCACACTCCCGCTCCTTGTAGCACACAAAGCAAGAGAAGAAAGTAGAAGAAATGCATAATAGAGACAGTAGACACAGGTGTGAGACAAAGGAATAGTAATAACGAAGAAGAATATAGTTCCATTGGAAATCATAAGTCACAAGGACTGGATGCATGCATCTGAGCCAGTCATTGAGAACGATTTGAACCCTATCACCAAGCGTTTCCAACCATTGGTGTTTACCGTCCCGAGGACCCTGACCAGCCAAGAAGTCTACACCTTCCTACTTGGCTTAAACTAACTGTTGTAGATTTCATTGACTAGTGCCATGTTTTGGTTTGACCGCCACTAGCTCTTTTCCAGCCTGACCCTATATCAGCTAACATTGCCCGTAGGTGGAGGAAGGTGATGATTGGGCATATGTAACAAATGTCCTAACCATCTAAGTCGATGTAATTTCACAGCCTCGTCAACTGATTTCCTTCCCTCCTTACCTAGCACTCGACCGAACCCTAACCTCAATATTGCTCACCTTATTATGCCCCTTTACACGAAAGATAGAGAGCAGGCACCTATGATCAAAGACAGCTAGCCAGATTTTCATGTCTTCCACTCTCAATGGCCAGGTCTTACAGCCATATGCAAGCTGTTGCATAGAATTTTCATATAATATAATAATCAACACAGAATCATCCGAAGTAATAGTCTTCCATCCAAAATATGCTTCAATATGATACCCCACAATTATTCACTTCATTTTTAGATTTTTCCATCGACTGATTGAACCAAAGTGCTCGGTTTCAGGATGACATGTCGGCTCCTTGTACGGATGCTTTCAACGATGTCTGGTCATGTAACTTGAAGTCGATTGGTGGATAGTCACTAGCAGTGCACATCCTGGATGTCAGTGCTAGTCACCATCCACCAATTGACTTCGGTTTACGTGACAAGACATCTTCGAAGCATCTGTACAAGAAGTCGATATATCAACCTGAGACCAAGCGCTTCGGTCCAGTCGATCGACGGAAAAATCTAAAATTCATTTTAATAATACAATGAGACCAGTTGCAAAAGAGGCGGCTCTCGTAGCATAAGTGGTCTACTGGATAACACTTTGGCGTTTAAAACTATGGGCACTACATTCGAGCCTTGGTGAGAAAGCCATCACTGATGAGTCCCGAATGGGATGAAATTCACATCCTGGATTGCACTGCTAATCATCATCCACCAAATACCCCACAATAATCTTCCTAAATGTCTTTTGAAAAGTTCCTAGCGATTATAAATAGAAAGTTGTTTGAAATATTGCAGGAGTAAAGATTGCGACTCATTGAGGTTAGTTAGAAGGTTAGAACAATCTGTAGTGGAGTAAAAACACTTTGTTTTGATGCATAGAAAATTTAGGTATCCCAGTGACTGAAGAAGGCAACTTTCATCCAGATCTCACTTGTAAGTGTTTTTTGAGCAATGAGTTGAGAGCATGTCAGGGTTAGGATTGGTATTAGCGTTGGTTAAGCTTAGGTTAAGAATTACGATTAATAAAGAAAATAAAAGACAAATTCAGAGAAGAAAATTTTCTTTATTGACGAAATCATCTTCAGAGGCTGTACACAGTCGTATTTATATTTACCAAAAATGTATAGTGGTCTATTTTTGAGTAATAAGAGGTGACATAATTGATATAATTACTCGGAAGTGGCTTTAGAAGTAAAAAAAATTAAAAGTTTTAAATTACGTGGTAGTGAACGGCACAAATTTAGAAATTTGATAAGATTAAAATTGCTACTGAGCAAGAATAAAGGTGGTAGTTGAATGTCAATTTAACAAATGTGAAGAGGGTGTGAAATGTACAGAAGGAGCATATGAGAGTGATAGTAGTGAATTAATTATTGAAGCAAAAGCAAATTAAAAGTAAAGTTGAAAATTGAAAAAAGAAACGACTAGTGAAGAGGTTAAGACCAAGGTAGAATAAGAGACTAGACAAATCTTTTGTGTATACAGAGTTTTTGATTGTATTGACGAATCGCCAGCGTCTTCGCCAAACGCAAAAGCCGAAAACTGACGACCTTTGTACCATTTGGCTACACCTTGTTGATGATCTTGAAGGACGACTCTGGTGGAGCTACGTTGCTTCAGTTCACCAAGTGCTCGAGAATTCAGCTAGTAATTGTCTTGCATTGTTCTAATGCTAACCATACCGGATAATGTTCAGAGATTCGTTTGGAAAAGGTGTTGTCACTTTGTTCGGCCAATATAACTAGCTCCACAGGAGCAGCTGAATTTATAAACAAACATTGAAGTGGCCAAAATCGGCAGTTTATCCTTCACGCATCCATTGATCATTTGTCGGCTGTAGAAATTGGTCCATAGCTCAGGTGAAAAAAGGAGGCTTTCCTCAGTGATCTGAATTAGCAGTGATTCTTCAGAATCTCAGCTGCGGTATCACCTTTAAGTTCAACGCTCATAAATAACAGTTTCTTCAGCACCGTATGAGCTCTTTCAGGCTTTTGCTTTAACTTTATGATTTTCTCGATATATACTCAAGGATATTCATTCTTTATGAAGACTTGTCTGAGTCCCTCCAGTTCCCCATCGACTGCATCACTGGAACATATCCTTCTTATTCTTTAGGATAAGGAGTGGACCAGGTTTCTCTTACTTCTCAAAGGCACCCAACTATGAAAAATTTGTGTATTGACCATTCCATGTTGGTTTCCTGTAAATCGATCTTTGAAGAGAACCATCAGATCTCCGTTTTAGAAAAATATTCAAAAAATGGAATTCCGAGTACATCTCTGATTCCGAAATGAATTGGATGGCATGATGGCAGCTGTTGAACTCTTTAGTTATCAATTTCATGTCGGTATTCTCGTCAAATATGATGAAAGTATCATCCATATACATTTGGTACAAATAGACCCAATGGTGAACCCATCACCATTCCATCTCTTTGTCTATAAAGCATTTTGTTGGACTTGAATTGATCATTTGAAGTGCACCTTAATGGTAGTTCCTTTAAGTAGTGTTCCGATCCCTCACTTGTTTGGGGCATATTCTAAATTTTCCTTGGAAGTCGTAACAGTTAGTACGTTTAAAGTACCTTTATGTATCAAAACACAATTCGTCATCATATTAAAGCCTTTTTTGGGAACTGATTTTGAAACCAGCGCAGATGTACTACTGTCTCTTTTCTTCGGTTTGTTGATTTCCACTGTTATTTTGACCTTCAATATAGCCATTTAATGTGACCTATGCATATTCTCTCATCCCTTAACGCTTTATTAGTTCCATATATATATTCCTAAGTCAAGTAAATATATGTGATCAGATTGTTTTTTATCTCACTAAATATGCTTCGTCCTTTTTTCATAATTCTTATATCATTCTAGATATCCGAGGCATTGAGTAAAAATCAAGAGTTCTGGCAGTCGTTAGCTGCAGACAATAAGGCACTGAATGCTTTGGCTCCACAGAAATCTGGTAGTAATCTTCTTGAAGTCGAACAAGCACCACCTAGTGTTGGTAAGTTGGTAGTAAGATTTTATTAAATGTGCACAACTTGGCCACACTGGTAGTACGTAATTCCTTATTAGTTCGTTTATTCGATGTATCACACAATGAAACAGTATTATTTACTGGATAACAAGGTTTCGAACACAAATTATTACTGTTCATAATCATATCATCAATTATAATCACACGACTTTGAAACTTGAGTTTTATAGTTTCCTTTCTTGTCTCTCATTCGTCATTGTAGGGATAGTAGAACCTCCCAGCTCTCCAGGTGGATAGGTGTTGAATCATTCCTATTACACGTATTCTCCCTCTCTCTCAGTTGATTCCGTCATCAATCTCTCTCTCCACCCATCTGTGACATTAGATTTCAAAACTGTCATATTATCCCATCCAGTCTATTGTATGGTTGTGTGTAATTGCATGTGGTCAGTCCTACAGTTGAAATATTCTCCAGATTTCGTATCTTATTCGGGTCAACTAGGTTTTTATGTTCGGCTAGTCTGACTGCCCCTATTCTACTACACCAAAACATGGAACACCGAGAGAAAAGAATCTAAATCATCAGTAGTAATTCCATACAAGGAAGGGACCTTGGAAACCACCTTTCGCAGAATTCTTAACAAGGTAGGAATAAAATTGACTGGAATTCAAACCACCCACAAACTCAATTAGAAACAAGCTTTGTCGCTTAAAGGATCCTACCAGTGCAGCCTTTTAAACAAAACAATTTAGTTTATCTAGTACCCTACCTGCAATGATTGTCAAGTCAAATACATAGAACAGAGTAGTAGAATTGAGTCAGTCAAACTATGGGAGAACAAAATCCTAGCAAAATCTAGATTACTTTACCCAAATAAAATAAGAAACCTAGAGAATAGTTCAGCTAAAGCCCTCATTACTTGTAATTACACAAAGCTATTCAGTGGGATGCGATAAGATGACAGTTTTAAAATCTAATATAATGCCTGGGTGGAGGGAGAGATTGATAACTGACTGAAGCTTTATTTATCGAATCAACTGCAAATACGCGTAACAGAAGTGACGCAACACCTGTCCAAGATATCTGGAAATTTCTACTACTTCGACGATGACAAATGGGAGAGAACAAAGAAAACTATAAGTACGATTTTGAAACAGCGTTGTGTGTAATACACATTTGGTTTCCAAGCCAACGTGTTTTGTATCTCTGATATGACGCCTTACCGACCTACGCATACAATGCTGTACTGGGTATTTCTTTTTCGAATTTGGACCGAAAATAATTAGACACAGTATTTTTTTTAAGTACGTAAGTTCAATCTATCTCATAATTAGTTTAGTCTAGCTGCCCAGAATGAAAATCCCATTGAGTGAGAATCAGTCATACAGTGAGGTATTTCCGCTGGTATCTAGCTGTTCTCCTCAGAACAAAAACACTGGTTCAGTGTAATCAATGGACTGAAAAAAATTGTACAATTTTTCTTGAGGACGTCTATTAAATCGGATATTTCACCATTTATCGTCTTATAATTTCTAAGAGAGAACTGAAAGCAAGCAGACAGGCTTTATTACATATTTGTACAACAGCATAACTCCTCCTCTTCCTCTTGACTTTCATGTGTGAAGAAAATCTTTGAAATATGAAGGATATCTCAAAGATATGTAATACGCTGTTTGTAATCTATACTAATTACACAACTCTGGTCTCACTTGATAAATCAATAAAACAAATTCATTCAGACATCTATAAAACACAAAATAATTGAGCAAAGACTATCCTAATCGATAATTTCCTCTTCTTGCTCTACAATTATACATGCATGTTTATATACATAGAATATTCTAGAATAGTTGTCAGTAGCAATATTGGTGTGTTTTTTAAACAATAATATCGATTTGTAAAGTAACATCAATGGAATTACAGTTCATTAAAGATGCTTAAATAATAATAATAATAAAGAAATAACATCAAGTAGAATATTAAATAAAATTAAGGAAAATTAGACAAAAATTGAGGATCATTCAAACCTAGATGGCCAAGGTAAGGATAATATCTGAACTAAATTATTTTGGATGCGTAAATTAGGCTTCTTCATGGGGATCCCAACAGCCAGCCTTAGCAATATTTAACGGTGAATGCCCCTGAAGGCCTGGTTAGCATCAGTCTTGTTTTCTGTATCCACAAGATGAGACAAAATGGCTCTACAAACAGATTGTGTTTGTCCTTTACTCAACCACTATGCAGGGTGATGTTCGGAAATTCGATGAGAAACACGCACGCCTAATTGTACGGCTTGTTCAACTAACTGGCTCACTCCACAGGAGCAGTGAAATTGGTAGATATACATGGAAGAGGCGAAACTAGGCAGCTTATCTTTTACTCCAGAACGCAAACGAGGAGTGGTTTTAAAGATACAGCGTAATTCAGCAGCAGGGAATGCTCTTTTCACGGCATTTTTAAGGCGTTGTGTTAATATCTCGCTGATGTTGTCTCCAAAGAACTCGATTTGTAAGAATAAGGTGTTTTCAGGAACTGTTGTCACCTTGGGTTGCTTTGATTTTAGATTCCTATTTTTATCAATAAACTTTTTTGGATAACCATTTTCTATGAGCAAACGTTTAATATTATTAAGTTCCCCATCAAAACATTCCTCAGAGCAGATTTCTCTTGCTCTGTGAACCAAGCACTTAATCAGATTGGGTTTGCATTTTAAGGGCACAAAGCTGAAGAAATGAGTATACTGACCTGATGATGTAGGTTTTCTGCATACACTTTTTCTTATTGTGCCATCCTCTTTTCTGGTCATAAGGACGTCTAAAATTGAAACACAAATGTCTCTTTCTTTCTCAATAGTAAAATTTATGGCAGCGTGAACCTCGTTAAATTTATCCGGGATGCTCTTTACTTTCTTCTCATTTTTCATAATCAAAAGTGTATCACCCATGTACCGACAAAAGAATTCAAGTTCATCACTAACATCTTTCAAAGACCCATTTTCTAGTTTCTCAAGGAAAATGTCGGCTACAATGGGTCCTAGTGATGACCCAATCGCTATACCATCGATTTATCCATATAGTTCCTTATTAAATATAAAGTGAAGATTCATTGTGCATTTCAAGAGAAGCTCTTTCATAAAAGATATAGGATGTATATATATATATATTTCATTATTCTCTGAGGTTCCCAGTGCAAAGTAGGTTGTCAATACTAGATCTTCATTTTATCCTGTACTTTGAAGTCGTCATTTAGCTTTATCCACGATATCCCTTAAGTTATCACCTCCTCATCGAACTACTTCCTGTATAGCAGCTTGGGACACTCATCTATGACAGCAATTCTATTTTGGGATTCCTCTTTGCACGTGAATTTCATAGCCGAATGTACTTCATTGAATTGGGTTATTTTATTTCGTTACTATCCGAAACATTATCACAAATACTTTCTGAATGATTTCAATATTCGGAAAGTCAGTTTTCTAGCCTAATTCTATGGTGTGTAGACAACCTACGGCTGATGATTTTTCGAGCTGTTCTAGTTCAACTGGTGTTCATTTCTTCTGATCGTCTTGATTTCTCTCTGATGATGCTTGTCCGATGTATATCGCATCACATTTCAAGCATTTTATTTTGTAAACACAATTAAACAGAGAATCTTTAAGGATTTAGTCTTTTGTATGGATAAGGTTGCTTTTGAATTTGTCAACGTGTTGGAATAAAACTCTAATGTTGTACTTATTGAGTACTCTCCGAATATAATCTGACATTTCTGACCTATATGCGATGAACAGCTGCTAAACGTGAACCTGATTTGGTTCCCAAATAAAACTAAAAGCATGGCGTCTAGGACAAAACTATTACAGTTTTTACCGCTTCATAGTTCTAACTTACCAATTTTTTTTTCTTTACGAATCGCTTTAATTTAAATTTTATTTTCTAAATATTCCCCTTTCATAAAAAGGATCACCAATGACTAAATTGAAACATGACGCTGAATTCTATCGAGATCAAGTTGAGCTTCTGCGTGAAGAAGCCGATGAACAACAACTACGCTCAGCTGAGCATTACAGAAACCAAGTGAGTCAATTATTTTATTAGTATTCCCCTGGGTTCCTAGTAGAATATACAACTTTAGCAGGACATCTCCGTTTTATTTCTGTTCTCTGAAGTCGTCTTCACCTGATCCCACGATCACCCATATGCTTTCGTCTCCTACTGACATGATCTCTTCCATTTCATGCCCGGAAACACATGACCAACTCGTCGTTACTCATTCGGGTTCCATTAGAGGTCCTGCCCAGTGCGCGATGTCACTCAACTGTCCCTTCATTGTGTCTCCAGTCTACCTCTGTTTACATCGTTACATTGGTTGTGCACTACGTTCTTGACTGCTTTGTTCCCAGAGCTTCTAGTTGAGAATTCTTTCTAGCCTGTTATCTAATCTTTAGTATGGAGTGAAGGCTTCTGCCGCCTTCCCAGATTTCAGTAGCTTGATTGCACTGGCACTTTTGTGTCTGCTGCTGTTGGTATTTCTGAGCGAGTTGTATGTAATCGTTGATTCAAGTGTCTTTTGAAGTGATCAGCCTATTATTTTCTATGATCCCCCCTCCCTTGTGGTGATTAGGTCCCCTTAATCACCTTTCTTCATTGGTTGCATCTGTGCTGGTCTCTTCGCCAATAATGAATGATATAATGTGCTAAGGTCTCTTCTGCTTTTGACCTGTTCTGACTTAGTTTCTCTTGTGTTGTAGAACTGCCTTTTTGTCTTTCTTTGCACACCCCATCACCTTTTTATTCACTCCTTCTGTTATCCAGCTTTATATTGATTCATGTTTTGTTTCATCATTACACATGTCCATAGAGAGCCTCTTCTTTCACTCTAAAACGGCTGTACGCCTCCACTGTTTAGCACTTTTTATTATTATTGTTTCCTTTAATTCCTAGAGGAAAATAGGGCTTCAGTCGTATGTCTCCATTGAGTTTGCCAACATTTTCACGTTGATTCACGTCTGCCCACAAGCTTTCATCTCCTCCATATCGTCACCCTCGAACTCGCGACCGACTAATTCTCCACTTCCCATTCGGATCCCACTCAAGCGATGGCCTGGCATGTGATGTCGCCTACTTGATGGTTTATTTTCTCAGAGTATGGACAATCCACATTCATGTTTTCATGCATATTTGTTGCACAATCAGTTCCTTCTGGGTTGCTTCGTCTATTGACGAAGTTTCCTCCCTGTTGCTGATCTTTTTTGGCCATCCATCTGATCTTGAGTAGAATTGAGCGAAGACAGATGTTGATGAAGGTGTGTAGTTTGTTCAAAGTGTCCTTCGTGAAGTGGTGCGGAGCGGTGCCAAGTCTGTGATCTGTTTACTAGCGCTGACTTCACAATGGAGTTGAAAATCCGGATGTTATTTTCCTCTGATTTATTTGACTAACTTTCATGATGTCTGTTTTATACAGGGATAAAATATTTCATATTGTTTTGTTGAAAAATTCAAGTAATGATGTTTACAAAGCATTTCTTTAAAAGAAAATTATTCTTTCCTGGTCTAGTTCAACTTGGTGGGAATCTGAGACTCTAGTGAAACTTGAAAGTAGTATGGGAAAAAACTGTATCCATTTTGCTTGACAGAATAACAACTCTACCTCATATTAATAAGTGCGTTGAAGTAACATATCAGATTCTCTCTAACTCTCACTACACATCGTAAGCAATTTTACTTATACATGAATGTAAAAAATAATCTGCTAACAGAAGATTTATACTGTAATAACGACATCAAAGGTGAAGTTTCAGTCTGCTTAGTTAGTCAACCCGTAGTTGTTTCATGTACACCTGTGGTGAGAGCTGTCTGCTAGCCGAAATTGGTTGACACCAATTTACGTCAGTGTTTACGTCCCAAATATTGGTCATGAGAAGAAAAAACAACCAATCACAGCAGACTTTGCGTGGGTGGATACGATTCGCAGATATATGACCGGATATGACAGAATAACCTTCAGCAGGAAAACAACCAATCAGAAGACGTTGCTTCTCTGCTAACAATAACGCTAGTAATAATGTACATAAAAATTTATAAATATCTGTTAATTTTGTCAATAAATGATCTGTTATCTGACCCTTGTCTTCTGTCGTTCCACAACAAAGCAGCTGCAGGTGGGGAGGAGTGTACATTAGTACGAATTCTATAGTGATAAAGAAAATTTATATCTGTCCATAGTATTTTTATTAAGATATTTACCGAAACCACTTCGTTAGCTTATCATAACCTCCATTCTCAAAACAACTGACGTCCCTTTCAAGACTCGTACCCTGGTCACCGAATTTTGTAGTCACAGACGTTACGAACTAGTTATTCTGGTTAGCGATTGACTTCCCGTAGGGCTTACTGTATTGGATACTTTGATTAGAATTTAGTTAACTAGCGTCACATGTCTAACCTTTTGTTTGCTGCAGGATGAATTCTGTCAGTAAAGCTGTAACCTTAGAAGGCAATATGCTTTCCCTCATGGTTGAAGATACGCCTTGCTGACTGGTGAGTGTTAACTAATATCCGGGAAACCTAGGTCCAAGGATTTCGCGGATGATTTATGTTTGATGTCACACAAGCGATACCCAACAAACTGGTCGGAGAAGCAGCCAGTGAAGACAGGACTCCAGGTGAACATAGACAAGATGGAGGTTATGAAAATAACCAACCAACTTCCACCAACAACAACAGCAGAAACATCCAACGCCAATCTCCATCAACGGGAGGGATTTGAAAGAGGTTACTTCATTCACTTATCTAACTAGGGATCATTGTCTCAACTACAGCCAGTCGGAACGGACGAGGATGTCAAATCGAGTGAGAATCGGGAAGGGAGGCGAGAAAAACATTCACTCATCAACCTGAAACCATTTTGGAAATCTTCGTCACTCAACCAGTATCAACAACAAAATTCTGTCGGATTTTTAATACAAATGTCAAGTCAGTCAGTTCTCCTACACGAATCAGAAACTTGGCGGGTCACAAAGAATATTTCCAACAGGTTGTCAACTGAGATCTTTATCAACAACTGTCTTCGCTGGATCTATACTGAAGATCAGATGGCCGGGCCGGAAAGAATCACCAACAAGAAACTATGGGAAGAAACAAACAAAACAAGAACCAATCGCCAAACAACATATATGCAGGAGAAAGTGGATATGGATTTGACACTGGCTCGCTGATGAGGCCGCGCGTCAGGCCATTGGTCGAGTGGAACCAGGCCGAAAGGGAAGCGGCTAGTGGGACGTTAGTGCAAGGGTGACATGGAGGAGATCGTGTGAAGGGAGAGGAGTTGAAAGAGTATGGACTAACATGGATGCAGGTGATGGATGCAGTACAGCAGAAGACAGAAGTTACAAGTGGAGACGTGCAGTTGAAGCCGTATGTTCCACTAGGAACCCAAGGGAACAATAATAACAATAATAAAGGTCCAAGGCTTATTACCGATTACCTAAAACCATGTAATATCAACGTTCCACTACATACCAACAGTTTCATTAAAGTTGTTTATTTTCCATCAGAATCACTGTATAGTAGTTAATGAAGGCTTCTTTTCTCATAAATTGGTAATTTAATAATATTAATATATATATATATATATATATATATATATACGTAATATGACTCAATATTTTCTTATAGGTTCGTGTTCTCAGTGAACGTGTTGAACAGCTACAGCATGTTTTAGCTTTGGAATCCAGTAAAGTAGAACGACTGAGCTCTGAATTAGAAGAGAAAAACTCGAATGAATCCGAGGCCAAGGCATATGTACGCAATCTTGAAGTGATGGTCAATCAATTGAGTAAACAATTAGAACAAAAGAGTAAATTGATGTCACACGCAAGTGTTAATGATGTAAATGAAGACTTTGATAATGATGTTAAAGATTCCAAGACACAAGTGAGTTGAGTTTGCTTACCTTGTAAAAACCAAAAATGGGTTTTTTATTCACTTACGTTCACAGTGGCACATAAGGGTTCAAACTACCGACTTGAAGTTTCGGTAGGAGTGGTGTTTTTTTTTTTAAGTTTTACGGGATGAGGTTGCTAGTGTCATGCTGAACACCCCCCTCCCTTTAACAGTCTTATTACTGGCTTAGCGAGGAAAAAGAATGAGTCGGCAGGGACTCGAACCCCGAACCACTTGGTTTACAAGCATTCTATAGCTGTGCCACCGAGGCACTGTAGGAAATTAACTCTTTCTAAATGCTATTACGCAAGTAGGGTTTTTCACGCTGATTATATGAATTTCAGAACAATATTTAAGAAAGCAGATATGTATTTTTGGTAAATCCTCATTAGGCTTTACAGTTACACGATCAAATATCACCAGAAGTTAGTGGCTGGAAGGTCCACGAGGTTGCTTGGCTTGTAAACAGGATATTGTGCGTTCGAACTCTGACGGTGGCTCCATATTGATGAAGAGATTCAAGCACTATTACGCAACAGCTGGCTATCCAGTACTTCCTTCAGGTTTTCCAGTGGTTCTCTAACTGATGTCAGCTCATGATGAAATCCTGTAAACGACGATTAAAATGTACAGCTATAAGACAGCTAGTCGTTATTACTGGGATAACCATTCTAAATTCGAGTTGAAGATCATAAGAGGGAAAGGAATAGAACGAATTCTTTCTGAACCGAAAGATTGGGTTAAAGGATGTTTTTTACAGCAATTATCTCAACCATGCTTAGTAATCGAAGGTGTACAAACTTAGCGAACTGGAGTGTCATATTGTATCAATCTTGTGCTCCGTAAATCACGTTTGTTAATGCTCAAGAAAGCGATAGTAAGTTTTCCGACTCATCCTACTTATATAAGCTGACTCCACATTGGTTACTGGATTTCATCATGAACTGACATTGGTAAGAGAATCATTGGAAAACAAGCTGTGAGCACTGGACAGCCGACTCGTCCTAATGCTTAGGACTCTTTATCAGTACGCACCTACCTACCCGCTACAGTTTGAACCCATGACCCGCCGGTTACAAGCCAAACGAGCTCGTATACCATTTGGCCAGTGGAAACCGGTTCAATGACCAGTTCATAAATTCCAACTTCTGCCAATTGACGACATAGCGTGACCGCCAGCCAATATCATCGGTGGCGAGTATTTGTCCTCAAACCTGACTTGCTGCACCCTACTGGTCACGACTCCACATTTTTTTAAATGCCTATTCACGTGACTACTCATCACTTTGTTACTATCCTATTTCATGCAAAAGTTGTATATCAATACGACTGTACAGCTGAAGAGGAGAATGAATCCTTTGGGAACAGCCTATTCGATGAGAACTACGTGCTTTGTTTCCATAAAATGTCTATGACTCATATTTTTTTTATTATGCAATTATAAAGTCTGATGATAACTAACCGAGAATGTGTATTCGCTTGCCTACATTCTGTTCTAAAATTATCTAAATGGGAATATTTAGATCATACGAATTGTTCATTAAGGATAACGAAAATATTCATTCAGACATCTCTAAGAAAACAAAACAATTGAGCAAAGAATATCCTTCTCGATAATTTCCTCCTCTTCTCGCTCTACAATTATATATGCATGTTTATATACATAGAATATTCCAGAATAGTAGTCAATAACAATATTAGTGTTTTTTTTTAAATAATATCGATTCTTTATATAACATCAATGGAATAACAGTTCATTAAAGATGCTTCAATAATGATAATAAATATATAATAGCAAATAGAATGTCAGCTAAAATTAGGGTGATTTCCACAAAACTTTGAGGATCATTCAAACCTAGATGGTCAAGGCAAGGATAATTTCTGAACTAACTTCTTTTGGACACATAAATTAGGCTTTTTAATGTGGATCCCAACAGCCAGCCTCAGCACTATTTAGTAATCGGACACCTAAGGCGAAATTGAAATTTGTTGGTTGGTATGCGGTGAATAACTCCGAAAGCTTACTCGTTGACATCAGTGTTGTGTTCTGTATCCACAAGATGAGATAGAATAGCGCTACGAGTAGATTTTGTTTGTCCTTAGCTTAACCACTATACAGGGTGATTTTTGGAAATCCGACGAGAAACATGCCTAATCATCTGTAACATGGCTGAGTTATATTCATAATCCATGGTATGTATAAGCATACAGGTAGTCAGAAATAAAGTGTTTTAGTTCCAATAATATCTACGAAGTACGCATTCACTAAACTGTTCGTACGTGTACGTATTAACAAAAATCTAAATTGAAACGCTGTATATGCAATGAGGAATAAAATTGGATTCTACGTTTGATATCCTACAGGCGAATAATTCGTGATAATTATTTGTACTACTATTGTTTTGTAAGTAATATATCTTCATTCTGCAAATTATTATGTGTGTAGGACTCGGACACTACGGTGAGGTATGTAATTCCATTTAAATTTGTTTATTAGAAATATAACACAGTGAAACAACATTATTTACTGGATGACACAGTTTCGAACACAATTTATTATTGTTCATAATCACATCGCTAACTATAAAAATACAACCTGAAAAACTTCGTTCTATAGTTTTCTCCATTCGATTGTAATCGTCGTTGTAGGGGTAGGAAAATTCTCCAGCTGTCCGGCTGGACAGCTGCTGAATCATTCCTGTTACACGTGTTTGCTGTCAGTTGATTCGATAAATAAAGCCTCAGTCAGTTATCAATCTCTCCCTCCACCCAGCTGTTACATTAGATTTTAAAACTGTCTCTCATCTTATCCCATCCATCGCATTGTATAGTTGTGTGTATTTGCATGTGGTGAGTGATATAGCTGGAGTATTTTCCAGATTCCTTATCTTATTCCGGTCAACTAATCTAGATTTCGCTGCTAGATTTTTATGCTCCACTAGTCTGACTGACTAAGTGTGTTCTACTAGTTTGACCTATATATTTGACCTGACAATCATAGCAGTCGGGTATTAGATAAACTAGATCGTTTTGTTTAATTGGCTTCACGGGATTGTCCCCTTAACCGACAAAGCTTGTTTCTAATTGAGTATGTGGGTGGTTTCAATTCCAGTCACTCCTATTGCTGCCTTGTTAGCGATTCTCCGCCGTAAGGTTTCCGAGGTCCCTTCTTTGTATGGAATTACTACTGATGATTTAGATTCTTTCTTGTTGGTATTATCATCATTCTGTTCATGTTTGTTATGCAATTGTAATCGGAGTGATTCAACACCTGTCCAGACGGACATCTGGAAAATTCTACTACCCCTAGAATGACGAATAGGAAGGAATAATGAAAACTACAAAACTCAAGTCTCGAAGTCGTGTGATTATAATTGATGATATGATTATGAAGAACAATAAATTGTGTTCGAAACTGTGTCCTCCAGTAAATGATAATAATACTGTTTCACTGACTGTGTGTACATCTAATTAACAAATTAATATGGAATTTTATCCAGTAAATTTACCGCATAGTCGGCATTCTGTAAAACATTTTTCTTACTGAGAGAATATTCTTAAAGCTATTTCCTTTTTATCTTATCGCCAGAAATCGCTAACCTCTAAACCACTCTGTAATTTCATAGAATAAACACATTAAGCAAAACTGACACATGATTCAGTCATTCATTTCGCTATTATTATTATTAATAATAATTTAATCCAATCTTGTCTTCTACTATTTCTATTTGCTTTTATTTCAGGAGTTAATTACTGAACTACAAAATGAGCTATCCACGCATCGTGATTTAGTGATAAAACTCAGGGAGTATTTATCATCTCATCCTGAAATGACATCACAACTTGACAGTCATACACAAGGAGCACTGGAACTGTTGAATTCGCCTATTATGCTTGGAAAAACAAATATGAATCATTTACAAAGTCAACATTTCTTTGGATCGTCTAGAACTCAGTCTCGCGAAGAAGTGAACGACTTAACGCCTAGAAGTAATACAGTACAACAGCTAAGTGAAATGAAACGACAACTTCAAGTTCTACACCAACAATTGATGGAGTCTGAGGTAGGTTTTAAATAATTACTATCATAATTATTATTTCCCACAACTGCCTATAGGCTGTCATCTCCTCCTTAAAAAAAATAATCCCGTCTATGTCATCTTTGGTACCACATGCATTCCGTTGCTATCCATTAGAGTTCCACTAGAACGATAGCCCCTGGCACGAGATGTAAATCAACGGTCTCCTCCGGGTGTGTCCGATCCATTTGCACTTTCTTCATCATATCTGCTGAGAAATATGTTCTTGACTGGTTTGTTTCCTGAGTTTATGCTTTGCTAATTCTTTCTAGCCGACAATCCAATTTTAATTATGAACTCGCCAAGTTTCTGATCCATATAGAAGAATTGACTGACTTGACATTGGTGTTGAAAATCCGAATTTCAATTGGACACTAGTAAGTAACAAGTGTAATGTGTCTAGTCCTATCTTTGGTGCAGACTGAATTCTATCAGTCAGTCAGTCAGTTTTACAATGTGGCCACCATTCTAGGTGGTGGCTCGCCATCACGGTGTACATTGATTTGATAATATTACATAGTTAGAAAGAAACAACTAGACACATGACACTAGTTACTGGTGTCCAATGGAAAAATACCTACCACAGTCCTACAGGAGACCAGTAAAGATATCGAGTGGTTGGCTCAGTGGTAACATCTCTGACCGCAGCACTGCACTGGGTGACGCGAGTTCGAATTCCAGGAGAGACATGAGTTCCCTCAAGGTGACTGCAGACACGCCTTGTTGATTTGTCAGTGGCAAGTAGTACGAAACGTAGATCAAGCAAGGCTTCATGTAGCCGATTGCCTTCAACTATCTAATCCGAAATTCACCCTTTATGTTGAGTGGAGCAGATTTGCCAGGTGATCTGAGAGTGATGAAGGTCTGTGTTTTGACATCACCATCATCCGTGTTATCGCCTGCAGTTGAAGGGATGTTGCTTGATGAGATGATAAGAGAAGGAAGTGACCTCTTTCGAATTACTTTCGTTGATAACGACTGGTGCTTGTTGTTACTGTCATTGGTGCGTGTTTATCTTCATAACCTCCATCTTCTCTATGCTCGCTTCAAAAACCCCTCCCTGGCACTCAGCCTATTCTGGCAACGGTTTGCTTATCACCAGTATATCTTTGAGTTTGTGTGACATTAGATGTGAATTGTCTGTGAAGTCCTGATCGTTTTGTGTCATCCTTACTTGTTCAACGTATTCCTGTATTCTCAATCCAACTCACGTTTTATAGAATAATCCAGCCTATTACAAGGAGGAATATTGGCAAATTTCTGCAATCGAGAGTCCCAAGGGAGGCGAACGCACGAGTGACCTGGTGCCGACCAATCAGAAAACTGAGGGATTTTTGCACAAAAATTCACGTATATTTACATAAAAAAGTATGAAAAAAACATTAAACAGGGTATTTCTCTCCCAGAAACCTTCTATTGAATTAGTATGAGTCCTGGATCTGGGATTGACAAAATCATCGGAATGGTTAACTCGGTGGTGTGTATATCATAAATTCGATAATCGGTTATATCCTGCCCATTCATTCGTGTGTATGGTGGTGCCAGGCAAAACAAGTCCCTGAATAATAAGCAGAAGAGTGTCGGCACTCCTTTCTGGAATAAGTTCAATGAATCCTTTCCGAATTTAGGTGCCGTAAATTCCCAATGCCCAAACTTTATTAGCTCTAGCACGTCGGCAATTGTATTTCTTTTATATAAGCACCCTTTTGTCGATATGAACGACGAACGATGACCCGGCGTAAGATGTCACCCAACAATCTCCTCATGGTCTATCCAATCCAACTCCATGTTCTTGGGGATATTTTTTGAGCAATAGCTTCCCTGATTGGTTTGTTCGTCACTACAGTTTCTTAGTGTTAGTTCTTTCCGGTTGGCCATCTCATTTGAAGTATAGAACCAGAGAAGTTGACAGTTGTTGATAAAAGTCTCCAGTCTGTTGGTAATGCTTTTTGAGACGCATTACGTTGGGAAGCCATACTTCTGCTATTCAACAAATACAATGGTTATAACACATAAACCCGAAAGATTGAATCGCAGATGTTAGTTGGCATAGACAGCAGGTTGGTAACCCCATCAATGGCACTTATCGCCTGCCGAGTCGATCAGCAAGCACTATAGCATATGGATTGTGTGATAAGTGTTGTTTGATCTGGGGCAACCAATCAGCACAAAAGAGTTTGATTCAATGAGAGAGAGAGAGTGAGGTATACATGATGACTGAACCGGCCAGTCAATCACTGACAGAGAATCATGAGCTGGGAAACTGAAGTCAGTATAACTAATGAACAAAACCACATGTTTAAGTGTTGGTTTTTAGGGATTTAGTTGGTTGCAGGATTTCGTCATGAGCTGGTATTGGTTAGAGAACCATTGGGAAACCTGCAGGGAGTACTGGACAGCCAACTGTTTCGTCCCAGTTTGGGGCTCTTCATAGTAAGCATCCACCGAAGTTCGAACCCACGACCTTCTAGTTACAAGGCTAGCGAGCTCGTGGACCATTAAGTCACTGGGACCGATCCAATGGCCCATGAATTCTAACTTCTACCATCTCACGACATAGGGCAACCATTAGCCAATGTCTTCGGCAAGTATTTGTCCTCACACCCGACCTGCTGCACCTTACTGGTCACTTCTCACTAAAACCCCAGATAACTACTTACCTGAATAGGGCCAGTCGCTAGTGAGCATCTCGTCGGTATTTAAGTGTTGGTTTGTAGGGATTTCGTTGGTTACAGGATTTCATCACGAGCTGACATTGGTTAGAGAACCATTGGAAAACCATATCACCTACAGTCAGTCGTTACTGTTTCACGCTGTTTGAAACTTTTTCTATTGCAACTCCGCCATCTTCAGTTAAAAATCTGAATTACAGAAAAAAACAAGTAGGAATTAATTTGATGGATGGTGATTAGCAATGAAGCGTATTTCGTCGCATTTGGGACTCATCGTCCGAATGTGCCTGCATTCCCCAGTAAGTGATTGTGTTCCCATTGACAGCTGAACCTAGAAAACACATCTTTTCAAACACCAGTCTCAATGGGAACAGCATAACTCACTGGAAATGCTCATACTACATTCCTTTGGTCCATTATTATTATTATTATTATTATTATTATTATTATTATTATTTCCTTTAGTTCCTAGAAGAACATAGCGCCTCAGCCGCATGTCTCTATTGCGTCCGATTCCCTGCCAACATTTTTACCTGACTCCACGTCTGCTCATATGTTTTCATCTCGTCCTCACATGACCTCCTCCAAGTCACCCTTGGATGACCAACTCGCCGCTTCCCGTTCGAGTTCCACTCGAGCGACTACCTGTCGTGTGATATCACTTGATGATTTTTTTCTCAGAGTATGTCCAGTCCACCTCTATTTCTTCCTGCCTACTTGTTGCACAACTAGTTCTTGATTGATTGTTTCGCTCATTGCTAGAGATCTCTCACGATTGCAGATCTTTTCTGGCCGGCCATCTGATCTAGAGCGAAGTACTGAGCAAAGACAGCTGTTAATGAAGGTCTGTAGTCTGTTTGAGATGCTCTTCATGACGCGCCAAGTCTCTGATCCGTACAGTAAGTAGCACTGACTTCCTGTTGGAGTTGGAAATTCGGATCTTATTTTTGATGCTGAGTGCTGTTGACCTCCACAAAGACTTGAGAGAAATGAAAGCTTCCCAAGTAGGTAGTTAGGTAGGTGGGTGAAGGAGATCGCTTCTTTCAGATTTCTCCCACTTATGCTGATTGTTGCCTGTTGTTGTTGCTGTTGGCCAGAAATCTTCATCACCTCCTTTTTCTCTATGCCCACCTGAAGGCCTATCTCCTCTGGATGCTCCTTCTGCCAACTTGTTGCTTTTCATTTGCATATCTTCCAGTTTGTGAGAAATCAGACATATACATCATCGGCGAAGTCCAGATCCTCTAAGTTCTTTTTTTGGTGTGGGTCCATTTGATGCCTGCTTCCTCGCTGCCTAGCCCGCTGTTTGTCGCATTATCCAATCTACTGCAATCAGGAAAATTATTGGAGATAGTAGGCAGCCAGCCTTGTTTTACTCCCGTCCTCACTTTGAAGGATTCTGTAAGTTTCCCGTTGTGGATTACTTGACATGCAGCATTGTCGTACAACTGTTGGATGAGATGTGCGTCGGTGGCAAAGTGGTTGGAACTCTCCCCGACCATGCACGTGGTTCGAGGTTCAATCCCCTGCCGATGCACACCTGATATCTATGGGGTCAGCCTGCAAAATTTGGGCTACCGATATCACATGCTAAAAATTCCATACTTGTACCAAAAAAGTGAAATCAAGCTGTAATCAAAAATATAAAAAAAACAAAAAAATAAATAATTGTTGGCAGTACCCCATGGTAGTAGCGAATTAGTTGCCTTTGGTCCATACTTCGGTCCAATCAGTTAGAAGGAAAATTAAACTTGAATTCAAAACTGTATATACATCCGATTTAAACATATTCGCATCTCTCTTGTATTTCAGGATAATGTTAAACAAGAAGCAGAAAATAGAGAAGAATTAGAAGCTGAAAACTTTAGTCTATATGATAAAATTTCCATATTAGACAGACAGTTACGTCATATACAAGATGAATATGATGAATTAGTGAAGAAAGAAATGATGAATCAGCGTACACTGAAAGAAGTACAAGAACTTTTAGATGATGAATCCCGGAAATGTACAAAACTTGAACAACAGAATAAAGAATTGGAACAACAGCTAGCTGAACTACGTGAATACACTGAACCAGAAGATGATATAGGTAGGTTAACAGAAATATCAGTTATGAAACCTATTCATAATCATATACATACATATATACACCAATCTGTTAAAGTGCATATCGTCAAACTCATAGTTCTTGGAACCCATCTCATTGGCTAAATGGTCACCAAGCTTTGTCTGCTAACCTGAAGATCCCGGATTCAATCTGAAGTTGAGTCATAAAAACATACTGCTGAAGAGCCTCAATCTAGGGCAAAACAGTTACTCAATGATTCACGAAGTAATCTGTACCAAAGTTCGTTCAAGACTCATTTGGCAAAGTTAAACTTTAAGCACCACTATCTACCAATCAGCGAACGACCACCTTCAATGATCCAATCGTATGAAAGAGGGATTTTCGATTATAGAAAACGTATGTGGCAAAAACATCTCCCAATTTGGCATAGGAGTGCCCATAGGAAAGTAACACCACAATCTGTACATATATTCATTCAAACGACGATAAATGCCATACTTCTGAGATCCATTCATAGTCCTAATACAACTTTTTAATCTTCCCCAAAATCCTTCTATAGAATTCGTGTGTGTCCCTGTGATGGGATCCACAAAATCACTGGAATGGTTCACTTTGTGATGAATACATCCCAGGGATGGTAGCGAGTTATCACCTTTCCATTCATCTGTATGTACCATAGATCCCTGTTTCACCAGTCGAGTGACAATAGGTACTGAGATAGTTGACTTTTTGTCTGCGATTCTCTCCATGAATCCTTTCTGCATTTAGGTGTCTTATGAACCAATCACCCAAATGAGTAACAGAAAGCACAACGTCTAGGTCGAAGGCTTCCTTCTGATCCCCTCCAACCATCTAATAACAAGAGGTCAGAGTAAACTGTTATGGCGAACCACCCTAGAATGAAGGACACACTGCAAACTTGACTGATAGAATTCAGTCTGCACTAAACGAAAGACTAGATGCGTGACATTATTTACTAACTGACAGCACTGGGTGATCTGGGTTCAAGTCTCAGAAAGATAATGAGTTCCTTCAAGGAAGCCTTGCTGTCTAGTGAATGCCAACAAGGAGGAGATCTAGGTAGATGGCTTCCTCACGACTGCCTTCAACCATCTAATAAAAAAGGTGTTGCTAAATTAGTAATAACTGGAAGACATGAAGATAGTTCAGACACTGGTTCGAGAACATTTTAATGCTGATTCCGATCACATGCTTACTAATATTCATAGAAAATACCATTCCAACTTGAATCATTTTCAAGAGTTGGTTTGTACGAGTTTGACCATGGACTGTCATCAGTTAGAGAACCATTGAGAACGAGCTAGGAGTACTGGATAGCTGTTTCATCCAGCTGCTTGGGTATCATTGGCAGTACACACTCACTACCACGGTTCGAACACAAAACCTTCCGGTCACAGGGAGGTCCAACCAGTCAAGAGTGAGGATCGATTTCCCGCCAGTGACATTTGTTGGTGGTCGCGCTAAATCACAAATTCGTAGAATTTCGAATTCACGGGTCCCAATGGCTGAATGGTATACGAGCTCACTTGACTTGTAATAGGGAGGTCCTGGGTTCGAACCTCGGTAGGTAGGTGCCTACTGCCGATGATTTCCAAGCACTAGGATGAAATAGGTGTCCAGTACTCCCTGTGGGCTCGTTTTCAACGTTTCTCTAACTGATTTCAATTCTTGGTCAAACTCGTATAAATCATGTTGCACAGTTAACAAACTAAGAGTGGTTTTTTCAAACTTGTAAAATATTTCTTCTAAATATATAACTATCATGAACCAATTCAACTGATGAATGAAATTTTTTTTCTTCTGATTGTATTCAGTTGCCAAAGAATGGGAAGCAATGAAATCGAAACTACGAGCTGATGCAATGTTTTACAAGAGAAGCTTGGATCAACTTCGTGAAGAATATGAACAATATCGTATTGATCATGATCCAGAAGCTATGCAAAGACAAGTAAGTAACAGCTTACAACTATTTTCGATCATAATAATAATAATAATCATAATTTTTGTTTTAAAAATATATTTGCCTCTTTAGACTAGGGCGATTCATTCACATATGAATCTTCAATTCTCAATCAATTTTCACAGTTCATTATCTCACTTTCATTATAAATTATTTAAATTGATTCCAGTGTGTTTGAAAAAAAATCAAAGTCAAAGATTTTTCTGAACGTTTCGCTGTGTGAGTGTTATGTACTCGTCGCCAAATTATCGTTATGTACTGATCGAGAACGTAATAGTCCTGACGCAAGAAAGACGGAAGTCAGAAGACCACTAGGTTTGCGATGATACTTCTATTTTCCAAACACAAAGAGAAGCAATAAGTGGTATCACACCAAAGTAACTAAGGCACACAAATTGTGAGAGAGAAATATATATGAATGTTCAGACAAGGGTGTGAACAAATCAATAGACAGTCTTAACATGAATGGCTAATTATAATGGAGTGTCGATCCAAATATACATAGCATAATATAGCAGACATGTCAACAACCACCATATATGGATATATGTCACCAAGCAACGGACTGTCAACAAACACTCATATTATATATAATATAAGGGGAATATACATTGGTAAAGGAGACAGGTTCATCAAAGTGAAATGGTCACAGACTAAGCGAGCAAACAGAAAGAGAGACCAATATACACACACACATAAATATATATATATGTGGATACATATCAGCGAGCCACAGCTTCTTCAGCAGATTTATACGGATTTTTTATTAATCATCAAAATACATAGTCAAAAAATCATTTTACATAAATTGAAGTCAGCTTATTTGAAGGTCACTTAACATTTGTACCACTGGAAATACGTAAGCAGTCATCATATAAAGTATAATTATATTTCAATAGTTTACACACAATGATAAGTTTGGTCATTGGTAATTTTGCTCGAAATATTACCAAAAACGAAAGCTCATCATTGTATATAAAATATTGAAATGTAATTAAGTTAGAAGTTAGAATTCAAGGACCATTGGATAAAGTCCCAGTGGTCCAGCGGTCTACGAGTTCGCTCACCTTTTAACCAGAAGGTTGTCGGTTCAAATCATGGTTGGTGGGTGTGTACTGAAGAAGAGTCCCAAACACTAGGACGAAACAGCTGTCTGTCCAGTACTCCCTGCTGGATTTCCAGTGGTTCTCTAACTGATATCAGCTCATGATGAAATCCTCCATCCAATCAAATAAAAAATCCCTACAAAACCAGTACTTGAAAATGCATACAGTCTGACTGATATTGCTTTAAACTTGTCACTTCGCAAAAATCTTAGTCGAGTCAGTTGAATTACTTTTAAACCAAACTACTTTTTCAGTAAAAACAAGACTAGTGAATACAACTTCATAACATAGAATTCAATCAATAAATCGTCGGTAGTAAATTAGTCATCGATATTTACATATATACGTAACAACTGCATAATGAGTAGTTAACAGCTTATGAAATATATTTACATATAGACACTAAAAGTTGACGGTACAAACCATATTGCTAAGTTATTTCAATGCTATACAAAAAGTAAATAAGTGTAAATTCTAAAGGTTACTAATCATCTTGTGTTTCTGTTTTTGTGTGCGTGTTTGTGAGTATGTGTAATTGTGTGTTTGTGTCTAACTAGGTTTTAGCCATATACATAATATGTCTTATAATCACTTCTGGCTACTCTAAGAATAATCATCCGAAATCGATAATCCAGTATAATGTGTAATATAATAACGTTACAAAATAGTCTCACATATTGTCGACACATATCAATGAAAAGTTTCATTTGTCTAAGTGTTCAAAATTCAATATGTAGTGATTTTGTAAAACAGCATAATAAGAAAACGTAGTTTTTCTGAAATGTGTGTGCAATGTATTTGGTCAACACATTTCGAATATTCTGATCACACACGTACTTGTCAACAAAGTCTGGTCACTAAAAAAGGACTCAAGGCTGCAATGAATAGAACTTATTATACAGCTAAACTTATCTTCATAAAGAAAAACGAGAACTATGCTGTCCTGTAAACCTTCACATTATCCCAACGATAGTGTCACATCCCACTGTGTTTATCAATTTGGACTGTATGTGTGGAGACACGTACATAGGGAGGACTCATCGGTCTCTGCAGGTTAAGGCTATAGAACACATTCCAAAGTGGCTGCAATAACAAATGCAATCGCCAGACACAAGTGACTCCAGAAAAAGATGTCCAACATCATCTACAGCGAAACACACTGTGGAGACGGGTCACAAGGTTGATATCAACAATGCCTTTAAGTCCATATATAAAACAAGGTTGGTTCAAATACTTGAATTCGTTGAAGCCTTAGCCATAAAAAGACTTAAACCTGTCTTATGCGTCCAAAGTCTACGAGCTCGCCTTGTAATCAGAAAGTCCTGAGGTCGAACCCCGGTGGGTGGGTATTGATGAAGAGTCCCAAACACTAGGACGAAACAGCTGTCTGTCCAGTACTCCCTGCTGGTTTTCCAGTGGTTCTCTAACTGATATCAGCTCATGATGAAATCCTCCATCCAATCAAACTAAATCTCTACAACACCAATACCTCAATAGTTATTTGTTATTCCCTTAAACCTGCCTTGGTAATCCAATTTAGAACCAAGGACCAGTTCACTTCGTAATATTCTCAACCCCTTCTTTGCTTCGTATTTTGCTTTCTTACCCACAACTTCGCGTGTCCTCACCCATTATTTGGGACCTTGACCTGTACATAATATGACCTGTATTGTAATAATTCATACTTTCTTTTCTCCTATAAAACTGTGTATGACAAGTACTGGTGTGTGTGTGTGTGTGTGTGTGTGTGTGATCGGAATGTCCGAAATGAGTTCCGTAAAAAACACTACACACGTTTCTAATAAACTACATCTACTTATTGTGTTGTCGAAATTCATAAAGGGAACTAATTGCTTTAAATTTCTACAACAAGGCTAATGTAAACATTTAATTAAACTCAGTAGGAATGGTCATATATTTTATTTAGCTTACGTAACTACAGAGAAAATAAACATGGAATAAACACACAGAAATCACAGATGTAGTTTTGCCCGTTAGAATATAAAACAAAATCAATATCAAAATGTATCAGGTAACGGGTGTGAATAGCGACTCGTTTTGTTTTGCTTTGTATTGTTGAACATTTTACGTCGAATTATTTGACGCAGAGACAGAAAAAAGAAGCAGGTTTTGTTTGTATAAACGTAAATTATTGTTAAGCTATTAGACGCTTGATATAACTCCAATTTAATAATACCCATTGTAGCATTAAGAACACAATATTCAGCGAAGAGACTCTTTTCAACGAATTTATTATCAAGCTGTACAACCGTATATGTATGGTGTGAATACATAAAATAATAATAGTAGTAGTATGAAATACAATTAAAATGTTTGCGATTATAATCACAGATAAATCTTCATGTATTGGTTTTGTAGGGATTTTTTATTTGATTGGATGGAGGATTTCATCATGACTACTGGAAAACCAGCAGGGAGTACTGGACAGACAGCTGTTTCTTCCTAGTGCTTGGGACTCTTCATCAGTACGCACCCACCATCCATGGTTCGAACCCACGACTTCAGGTTACAAGGTAAACCAATGAGCCGATGTGACTCGATCCGATGGTGCTTGAATTCTAACTTTTGCCAATTCATGACATAGTGCGACAACTAGCCAATGGCTTCTCCGATGACTTACTGCCTCATCTTCAACCTGCTGTACCCTACTGGTCAAGACTACCCACTAGAACTCAAGGTCACTGCCTGAATATGGCTTGTCGTTAGTGAGCATCAAAATAATTTTCATGATGAGATCCTCCAACGAACTAAACAAAATCTTTACAAAACCAATACTTGAAGTGATTGTGTTAGCTTGTGTTCTAAGTCCTTTTCAAAATCTCAGTTTATTGGTGTCCTTAACAATGTAGATGATGGCTGAAAGATAACTGACAATAGATGCGTCCCCTGTATCGAATCGTCGTTACACCCTATATGATCTACTGACACCATTCATAACACGCACACGTTGAAAAGACCCTTTATCAGTATTAATATTGTTGCCTTCGGTTCCTAGTGGAATACAGGGCTGCAACTGCACGTCTCCACTTGCCACTTCTATCTTCCTTCTGCTGTCCTTTTCACCTGCATCCCTGTTAGTCCATACTGTCTCAACTCCACTCTCTTCACACGATCCCCTCCATGTCACCCTTGCAGTGATGTCCCACTCGCCGCGTCCTTCCCTTTCGGCCTGGTTCCACTCGAGCGATGGGCTGACGCGCGCGCGATGTCACCCAGCTGCCTCCTCAGTGAGCGAGTGTCCAATCCTTCCACCTCCACTTTCTCCTGCATATTTGTTGTTGTTAGGCGATTGGTTCTTGTTTTGTTTGTTCCCATAGTTTCTCGTTGGTGATTCTTTTTGGCCATCTGATCTTCAGTATAGATCCAGCGAAGACAGTTGTCGATAAGGTTCTGCAATAGCCTGTTGGTAATATTCTTTGTGACCCTCCCACCAAGTTTCTCATCCGTATAGAAGAGCTGACTGACTTGACGTTTGTACTGAAAATCCGACAGAATTTTGTTTTTGATGCTGGCTGAGTGACGAAGATTTCCAGATTGGTTTCTCGCCTGCCTTCCCGATTCTCGCTCGATTTGACATCCTCGTCCGTTACGACTTCCTGTAGTTGAGACAATGATCCCTAGCTAGATAAATGAATGAAGTAACCTCTTCCAAATCCCTCCCGTTGATGGTGACCGGCGTTGGATGTTTCTGCTGTTGTTCTTGTTGGTTGGTTGGTTATTTTCATAACCTACATCTTGTCTATGTTCACCTGGAGTCCTGTCTTCGCCGGCTGCTTCTTCGGCCAGTTTGTCGGTTTTCGGTTTGTATTTATTCTGTCATACACTAAAGATGCAGTGGGATAAAAAGTTAAGCCTGCCTTTATGCTTTTCTATGAAACCATCATTTAAGTAGTATGTTGTTTTATTATTATTTTATTTTTTAAAAATCCTCTCATTATTTTATGATGAATAATATTTATCTTTTATTGGTTAGTTAACAGAAAAAGATGAGAAGCTGAATCTCCTGGAAAAAGAAAAACAACAATGGCGTATGGAATTGGATATACAGAATGTAAAATTACAAAATGCTACTTCATTATTAGAAGATGTAAGTTCAAGCAACTTATTACAATTTATTTGATTAACTGGTTACAGGATATTATCATGAGTTGACATCGGTTAGAGAACTGTTGGGAAACCACCATCATGGAGTATGGAACATCTCCTTCGTCCTAGCCTGGGACCCTTCAGCATTACGCACGTACTGCTCGTAGACCAGTGCTGGCGGTTGAAGAGTCTATGAGCTGGCTTTGTGACCCGAAGGTCCTAGATTCAAAATCTCGTGGCGTTTGCGTACTGATGAAGACTGCCAGGCTGGAGTGAAAGAGGTGTTCATAACTCCATGTTGGTTTTCCAGTGGCTCTTTAACCGATACCAGCTGGAGAATAAGTAATTTTCACATGCAACCTGAAGCATAGAAACATTCAGTTATTAAGTTCTGAAGCTCATATTGTTGTGAGAGCTGTCTGCTAGCCAAAATTGGTAGACAGTAATTTACTTCAGTGTTTGCGTCCTATATCTTGGTCATGAGAAAAAACAAGGACAAAGACTAACCTTGAGGAACTCAACAACCAATCACAGCAGACTTTGAGTGACTTTGATATGATTAACAGATATATGGTGTGACTTTCAAAGAAACGGCCACAAAGAGATGACAAATTAACTTTCAGAGAGAAAACAACCAATCAGAAGACGCTGTTTTTCTGCTAATATTAATTAATAATAAACTACATAAAGGTATGTAAATATCTCTCGATTTCTTCCATAAACGATTCGCTGCCTAGCCCTTGTCTTCTGTTGTTACAATATGGCTTACCTGCATGACAAGTGTCCTCATTTATTAATTAATTAGCATAGAAATCTTTTAACGTCTGCTGACTTTTACATTTCCAAATATTCATCTGTAAAGTTTATGAATTAAAATTAGAAGACTTGTTCTGTATTCTGGCCGGAGATTTTCGCACATACTCCTAGTTGGGACTCGTCATCTGGATGTACCTGGACTCCCCAGTGAATGATGGCGTTCCCCGCCACGGAGACTCAAACCCAATACCTATAGTCTCAAATGCCAAAGCGCTATCCACTAGACCACTTGTGCCACGAGAGCCGCATATTGTGCAACGGGTCTGAGACCAAGCATTTCGGTTCAATTAATCGACTACAACTGGACTACAATTGTGGTCTGTAGTTCGATTCCTGAGTGATGAACTTCTAGATCTTGCTTAGCTGGTGGGTAGAAAGTCTGGTAAAAATGTAAGGCTGGTCATGTGGCTAGCAACTCTATCCCTTAAAAAAAGCAACTCTGCCATCAGAATTTAAAAACGAAAGCAAAGTCTATTTATCTGGGAATCAGGCATAAGGTCCTCTTGAGGGCGTAGAGTTTGAAAGCTGAAGATTGTTTGACACTGGGTATGGCATCTAAGGGGATTTTTTTGAGGATGGCCTTTGCATGTGTGTACGTGTTGTTGGTTAAAACCCTTGTGGATTACTTGGCACACCATATAAAGCTGCTCCACACACCCTGCTATTCAACTACCCCTTAGCTTCACTTCATGATGAAAGCTCATTCTATCATAATTTTTAAAGAAAATAACGAAATGTACAACAATCAGTTGAAGAAATAATCTTTGAAATTAAAAAGTAATCAAAAGGTCATCAGCATCAATCAGTCATTGTTGTCATGACAACGAAGATTATATGCATTACAAAACAATGAAAAGTGATCAAGCCTTACCATAAACGAATTCATTTGACATCAATCATTAGAGTAATAATTTAATTAGGAATTTTAAAATTTAAATGATTTAGGTAATATATATTTCTTACAGTAGTGGTAATAATAATAATTAAAATATTTTTAAATAAATAAATCAAAATACGCATATTTTTGAAGCGAGAATTGAACATTGAATAATTATTTTCGAAAACATTTCTTTTATTGAATGACACAGAGTTCAATACAGTTGATCAAATCAATTTTTCTTCATTTTTTGGCAAAATACATAAAAATGATTAGAAGATAAAATAGTGATTTATTTTTTAAACAAGCACCGTGAGATAAATTCACGCTGATTACATAAGATGCCTTAGATTACCCTCGCCATTCTCCCCCACCCTTGCCCCTTCCCACCAATGACCACCGGTAGAACAATTCATCATAGACTTTTGATACTAGTAATTTGAATATCCCTCGATAATTCATCATTCATGGAATAAGGATAATTAGACCAAATTAGTATGATTTCCATAAATTATTATTATTATTATTTGTCTTCAGACTCTACAATTATAAATCCATTAATCTTAGCTTTAGAGAATAGATCAAGAATTGCAAACAGAGTAATACCAATAGTAATAGTTATAATAACAATAATCGTAATAATGTTGAAGTGAGTTAAGATAATGCTACTGATAAAGGATAGTTTTAAATGAATCAAGAATAATAAGCAAAACGTATTACCGTGGTTTATTCAGAGTGACGACCATCTCCTTTTGTACACAGAGACCTGGTTTATAAACTCGAACTGCACAAGTCGCCTCCCTCGCATGGGCAAGTATCTTCCTGTTTCTTTGTCTGCTGACCATAACAGTGAATGACTTGACCGTGTTGATATCAAGTCCATAGTTTTCAAAATGTTCTGTTATTGAGGTTTTCGGCACTTTGCCTATTGACAAAATTGTCAGCTGGTTGAGTCAAAGACACACAACTAACCCTGTCTGCTTACAGTCTTCAGTGTTCTACGTAATATGATACAGTCTTTTTTAATAAGTCCAGGGAAGGATAATGGTGAAAAATAATGAGATAGTAGACAGAACACATGATCTAACAAATTATAAGAGAAGAGGTTGTTGAACTATGCCAGCAGAAAGTCTCAACTTCTTAATACAGTAAGTTAAACGAAATCATTACTTAGAAATCTACAGGATATGGGATGACCAAAAGAGATTCGAACAGAGATCGATGCTGAGATGAGAGATGTTCAGTTTACTCCCTATCACCGCGCCATCAGGATTACAGCAATCATAGAAGTGAATCAGTCTACGCAAGTCTTATTCGCACATGAAACTAAAATCAACAATATTACACTTAGATGGATTCAGCTGAATAGCATTTGGGTGAGATCATTCATTTGTTGACTTCAAACAGAAATCTATTCATATAAGAACATTCCAATGAGGAAACTATTATATATGAAATGGATAGCGACGAAATTCATATATGTAGATGACAAATATGAAAAGATGATTATTTAGACTCAAGTATTACAATGACTTTTCTTCAGGAACACTAAACTGGACTATTAGTAAGTCTCGCTGAGATTTTCAGTGGGTGGTGATCAGTAAATAGTGCATCAAAACGAAAGAATTGGAAATTATTTGAAATCACAGTAAATTTATCAATATATGTGTAAAACTTGGCCACTGTGGTAGTCAATAATTCCATATTAGTTTGTTTATTAGATGTATCACACAGCCAGTGAAACAGTATTAGTATTTACCGGATGACACAGTTTCGAACACAATTTATTATTGCTCACAATCATCTCATCAGTTATAACCACACTACTTCGAAACTTCAGCTTTATAATCTTCTTTATTCCTTCCTATTAGTCGTCATAGGGGTAGTAGAATCTTCCAGATGCCCAACTGGACACGTATTGAAATATTCCTATTACACGTATTCCCTCTCACTCGATTCCATAAACAGAGCTTCTGTTATCAATCTCTTCCTCCACCCTGTTGTTATATTATATTTTGAAACTGTCATCTTATCCCATCCATCCTATTGTATGCTTGTGTGTGTGTGTGCGTGCGTGTGTAATTGCATGTAGTGAGTGGTATGGCTGAACTATTCCCTAGATTTATTATCTTATTCGGGTCAACTGATCTAGATTTTCCTAGGTTTTTATGCTCCAATAGTCTGACTGACTAACCCCGTTCTACCACTTTGACCCATGTATTTGACCTGACAATCATAGATACATAGATGAAAGTAGTAGAACGGGGTTAGCCAGTCAGAGTAGCCGAGCACGAAAACCTAGCGAAATCTATATTACTTGACAATAATAAGATAAGAAATCTAGAGAATAGTTCAGCTATATCACTCACTACATGCAATTGCACACAACCACACAATATAGGATGTATGGGATAAGATGACAGTTTTGAAATCTAATGTAACAGCTGGTTTGAGGGAGAGATTGATAACTGACTGAGGCTTTATTTATCGAATCAACTAAGAGAGAATACGCGTAATAGGAATGTTTCAACACCTGTCCACCCAGATATCTGGAAAATTCTACTACCCCAACGACGACAAATAGGAGAGGACAAAGAAAAGTATACAATTCAGGTTTCGAAGTTGTGTGATTATAATTGATGAAATGATTATGAACTGCGATAAATTTTGTTCGATACTGTGCCATCCATTAAATAACACTGTTTCAATGATTGTGTGATACATCTAATAAACAAACTAATATGGAATCACAGTAAATTTAATTCTCATATCTACTAAAATGGCTTTATAATTTTTCTTTCTCAGACGGAATTACGCTTGAAAATGTTGAACAGAGAGCGTACAGCTCAAATGCATCGTATGTCTCAGTTGGAAACAGAACGTGATGAATTGATTCGACAAGCAGCAACTATTACTGGTCGTGCTTCAGCTGACAGAGAAATGGCAGCTGCTAAACTACGTGAAATGGATGAATTACGCTCAGAAAGAGATATGCTTAGAAAAGAGTTGACAGAGTGTAAACAAGCCCTTGCTGGTAGTACAGCTGAAAATACAGCTGAACGACGCCAACTTCAGGCTCGTTTACGTGAAATAGAAATGCACAATGAAGCGCGTATTTCAGATATTAAAACTGAGCTGGAAAGAGTACGTGAAGAGTTGGAACAGACACAGGTGAGTGAGATATAATTAGGATTATATTAATTCATTTAATTTGTTTACAGTAAACAGTAAACTCTCTGGAAATTGCCACTAGGCTTTATAGCATAGTTAATTAACATTGTCATATTAATTATTGATGCCACTTTAAGCCAATTATGCCTTTCTAATATCTTGGGGATTTTATTTTGTTTAAAAGGCTTTCTTTACAAATAAATAAACTTCATTTGTTGATGGATGGTGGGTAGCAGTGGAAACCAGGATAACGCGCATTTCGTCCTATTCGGGACTCATCAGGATGAAATACATCCTGGATTCCACTGCTACTCACCATTCATCAACTGACTTCAAACTACATGACCAGAATTCATGGTCAAACCATCTGTAGAGGCAATCGACATGTCAACCTTAAACCAAGCACTTCTGTCCAATCAATCGACGGGAAAGTTTAAAATTGAATTTCTTTTTTTAAAAACTCTACCTGTATTGATTAAAAGCAGATGTTGAAAAATGCGGTGTTTAGTTCTAGGCGAGATCGCCTCCCACTGCATCAGGGCCTTCGTTACCATTGGTGATATCATGATAGCTAAGCCCTCGATGTGCGTGTGGTTGTCTTCTCCCGTTGACAACTTGGTGAGTCCATTCCCGTTCCATCTGCTTTCACATATATTCCCAGTACTTGAATTCCGTATCTTTTCATCTCGTTTACAATCTTGAAAGCTTTGCTAATCTCGTACATGGTGCGGACGTTCCATATCCCCATACAGACTTTTTCTTTTAGCGCAAGGAGATTCATCGTGCTGAAGTTTCTGTAGCAACTTTGTTTGCAGGGTAGGGTTGCTAGCCTCACGCCTGAGAAAGGGGGTTGTTACATTAAAATATTGTTTACAGAGAAGCGACCTTGTGGGTTGCTCCACTTAAAACCAGGAAAACAAGGAATAAAACAATCAGAACAACACCAACAAAGGGAAAATAATTCACAACAGGAAGGGTAACAAGTTATAACAACAATAAAAAAAACCTTAGCAGTAGTGTCGCAGTCAGATACAGTTAACAAAAATGTTACCAAACTCATAGACTCACTGACTTGAACCAACATAGACATGTAAATCCATCAATGTATACAATTATAGATATTAGTTAGTGTTAGACAGTCACAATATGTCAAGCAGACAGTTATAGGTATTATCGGTCAACAAGATTATATCCACAGATTCAGCGTTTGAAAGGCGAATAATTACAATAATTTCCGTAACTTCTTGGCAAGAAATTCCACAGAAATAAGAGTCTTATGTCACTACGTGAATGTAGCGTAGTAATCGAAAAGCGCGTTCATTCGAAGTTTAGTTCTGCGTATCAGTTAAATAACAACTCCAGTTTCATTGGGAACAATTCTGTAGTCGAGTAATTTCATTTGGTATAGTTTAAAAAGATACAGCAGTGTTGATTAGGGGACGATTGACGGGATGCTTTCGTTTGCAAAGTGTGTCTACAGAAAATTCAAGGAACTTGTGTTCCATTTAGGCGTTGGAGCCTGTGCTAACCCAGTACCCTTCAGACTGCTATCTACAATATATGTCATTAAAATTCCATCAAAAGTGAGCCAGTTATGCGTGTTCTTTTATTACTAACAGACCCCTTGAATCTTCCTACAAATTTTGTTCCTCAGAGTATGAAAGATGCTGTAAAATCGATGCATGAGGAATTTGTTTTCTTGATGGAGCTGGTGACCCACGTATTTAAGTTTAAGTGACTTTATCCAGGCTTATTGTTTTAAATCCTGGATCCCAGAAGTAAAAGACAGACCCATGAAAGAATGCATTAAAAATCTGCATTAAACTGTATGGAGGAATTTCGGTGGCCAGTGCAACGGAATGATTGTTTGGAAATCCTTCCTGAACGATCTAATTACTATATTTGTACTTGCTTCGATGTTTCAACTAATATCATATATATATAATATTAAACACCATTCCGAACAATAATTATCATACACAGTGGAAACTTTTCAGCATTTTGCATTCAGATGAGAGATGTAAATATCCAGTTACCAGGGCAAAGAATGGCAGTGCCATCGCCAGGCAACTCCTCGACATGGATCATGAGGTGGACGTTGAAAAGTCGTTTAAAATTTTCAATAGGCATAAGTGGTCAATTCTCCTCAGGTTTGCTGAAGCCATTTCCATCAAGCGCCTGAAACCTGATTTGTGCATCCAAAAAGAAGTGGTTATCAGTCTTTTTTTGCCACCATGGTAACTGGATATTTTCATCTCTCATCTGAATGCGAAATGCTGAAAAGTTTCCACTGTGTATGATCATTATTGTTCTGAATGTTGTTTAATATTATATATATATATATATATATATATATATATATATATATATATATATATATATATATATATATATATATATATAATTACTGTATGCATATATTGATCAATTGATTGATTTTTGTTTAAAATGAACTGTCTGTGCAAGTTTGTTAAAATTGTTTTTGTAGATATATTTAATAATGTCTTTGCCATGTAGGCAGATGACGAGAAAGCAACGAAATAAAAGATGGTACCACTTTATTCTGCTAAAACTGTATTCCTTGCTTTGTCAGCTTTTAGATGATATTTCCAAACCACCACCTAGAACGATACTGGTCCACCAGCATAGTGAAACCTGTTCCCCAACCCCCACCCACCTATCTGGAGGACATAAGTCAATTATGCTTAAGAGTCTGTCTAATAAAAAGACCTCAAAATGGTGCCTAGAGACGGTGGGGCAAGGGGGAGCTAGAGAGATAATTCACCGTAGGCAAATTTATCAATCATACAGTAAAACTTAAACTGTCAACTGTGATGAAATATAAATATTACCGGGACATCCAATTTCACTCACCTAATAACTGAATACTGGACAAAGCAATAAGAAGATGTTATTTCCATATCGTTGCCTATATCTTATTTAAGGGATTTATTACTTCTATGTACTAGCAATTTTAACTTCCCATTTGATGGCGATTGTTTCCGTCAGGTTGACGGTGTTGCTATGGAACGTCTGTTAAGGCGCCTTTTAGCAGATATCTATATGTCGTACATTGTGAGTTTATCGGAGGATTTAATCGAAAATGTGCCACTCTATAGAATGTTTGTAGACGACATTGTAATCATAAGTGATAACCGCTTTGTTCTTTCACCTCAATTTTAAACAGAATGAATGAAGTTCACAAGAGCATATCACTTACTTCTGTAGGTAGAAGAGGAAGATAATTGTTTATCATACTTAGATAAAATGCTCAGTCAACGGCTTGATGGGTCAATAAAAAGATCTATTTGTAGAAAACCTACCTGGACAGGACAGTTTCTGCTCTATTCGGTATAGAAGAGCTTTAGTGAGTGAGGTGCCTATTCAGTAGAATCCAACGAATATGCACTGAGGATATACTTCAAGAGGAAGAAAGGAAGTTGACATAAACTCTGGTTGATAATAATTATCTAGATATGTTCATCAGGAGATATACAGTAGTCAGAACACCAAGACCCACTCTCCAACTGGCAACTAAGAAAGACGTGTACATCGAGCTACCCTATATGGGGCATCAAAGCAGCTTGATAACTAGACAAAGACTTTTATGCAACTAAGATCGTGGTAATTGAGAACGTGAAGCCAATATGTCCATTTAACCCCTTCGAATATGCGGAAAATTATGTCACATCCCACTGTATTTACAAACTTGAATATACGTGTGGACACACATACATAGGGAGGACTCATCGATCTCTGCAAGTAAAGGCCAGCTTCAAAGTATATTCCTAAATGGCTCCAGAAGCAAGTAGAATCCCCAGAACCCTCTAATGGTGAAAAAAGTAGACCTAGCTCCTCTTTTGCGAAACCTATCTATAAAACGTGTTTGGAACGTATCCTAATGTATGTGGAATCCCTGGCTAGAGATTAGGAAGTTTTACCACCTTTATGCATTCAAAGCAACAATACGTCATCACATTAAAACCCACCTTCCTTGGTAAACTTTGTTTTGATGCTAGCTAGAGTAGATGTGCTATTTGGTTTAGTGATCTTTGTTGTTATTTTCACCTTCAATATGGTGACCTTTTAACTTGATCTAAATTTATTTTCACAACTCTAAACTGTTTAATACTTTCATATATATCTATTCCTATGACAAGTTCGTGGCTGCGTGATCAGATTGTTCGAGATGTGTTGAGCAAATACATCAATACACGATTCAGACAAATTACGTTTTCTCATTTTTTCTTTGTGCCTTCACGTTCCCAGTGGAACATAGGGCGCCTTCAACCTGGGGGCTTGAAGTTTCTGTAGCAGTGTTTGTTTTTACAGGATAGGGTTGCAAGCCTCATGCCCAACCTTTCCTCTTTACTAACTTTATTACTGGCTTAGCGAGGTAAAGAAGTGCGTTGGTGGTCTGGGATCCAACCCTGGATCATGTGCACGGTCGGCGAGCTTCCTAACCTCTGTGCCACCGACGCATACATCTTCTTATTGCTTTGTCTAAAATCATAAACGGAACTATGACTGTCTCAAAGAAACAGATTAATTTTGTCATCCCAGCTAAATGCATTATTCCTCTTTGCCTAGGTTGAACTACAAACAACTCAAGCATCCGAAATGGAGTTACGCAGTGTCAATCAACATCAGAAATGGAAAATTCATGAATTAGAAGATCAAGTGATCCACTATACTAATCGTATATCTGGCCTAGAACGTCGTAGTATTGATCTGGATGCTGAATTAATCCGTGCCAAGGCTGACTTGAGTGCTTCACGTGAAAGCGCCTCCTTGAGACGTGCATCAAAGACACGCATGGCTGATGAATGGTTGAATTTACTGAATATACCAAGTAGACAAGATGAAACCGATGAAGAAGGCGAAGGAGACTATGATAATTATTATGACGATGATGGAGATTATCAAAGAAAAGTTATCATGTTGAAACGACGAAGTAGACAAGATTTGAATGATAGTAAAGATGAACTGTTCAGGCAAAGGTTAGTGTCACACACAGTATATATACATATATATATTATTTAATGGATGACACAGTTTCAAACAGAATCTGTTGTTCTTCACAATCATCTCATAAGTTATAATCACACAGCTTCAAAGCTTCAGTTTTATAGTTTTCTTTGTCCTCTCCTATTCGTCGTTGTAGGGGTGATAGACTTTTCCAGCTGTTCGAGTGAACAGGTGTTGAATCATTCCTACTTACATGTATTCTCTCTTAGTTGATTCGATAAACAAAGACTCAGTCAGTTATTAGTCTCTCCCTCCATCTGGTTGTTACATTAGATTTCAAAACTGTCATCTTATCCCATCCATCCTATTGTATGCTTGTGTGTGTGTGTGTGAGTAATTGCATGTAGCAAGTGCTACAGCTGAACTATTCTCCAGATTTCTTATCTTATTCGGGTTAACTAATCTAGATTTCATTGCTAGGTATGTATGCTCAGCTAGTCTGACTGACTGCCCTGTTCTCTTACTATGACCTATGTATTTGACCTGACAGTCATTGCATACAGGGTATTAGATAAACTAAATTGTTTTGTTTTAAAGGCTCCACAGGATCCTTCATTGTGGAGTCTTTAAATAGGAGAGAAAAAAGAAAACTATTAAACTGAAGTTTCGAAATTGTGTAATTACAATTGATGAAATGACTACGAACAATAACAGATTGTGTTCAAAACCGTCATCCAGTAAATATCAATACTGTTTCACTGACTGTGTCATACATCTAATAAACTAATATGGAATTTATTAACAAGCTATACAATCGTATATAAATATTGCTTTCAAAAATTTAATATAATAAGGATATTTGGTCAAAGGTGTGAATCCAAAAGAAGATGTTAGTATGTAATGCAGTTAAAGTATTTGTGGTTATTATACAATTGATGGATGGTGGCTAGCAGTGGAATCCAGGATGCGCATTTCGTCCTATTTGGGACTCGTCAGCTGGATGTACCTGCATTTCTCAGTGAGTGATGATGTTCCCACTGAGGCTCGAACCCAGTGCCCATAGTTTCGAACGCCAAAGCGTTATCCACTAGACCACTTGGGCCCTGAGAGCCACCTCTTGTGCGACGGGTCATATTAATTATTGAATTGAATTTTTGATTTGCCCGTCGATTGATTGGACCGAAGTGCTCGGTCTCACGTCGACCCGTTGCACAAGAGGTGGCTCTCGTGGCCCAAGTGGTCTAGTGGATAACGCTTTGGCATTTGGAACTATGGGCACTGGGTTCGAGCCTCAGTGGGAACATCATCACTCACTGAGAAATGCAGGTACATCCAGCTGACGAGTCCCAAATAGGACGAAATGCGCATCCTGGATTCCACTGATAGCCACCATCCACCAATTGTATACAAATCAAATCCCCAGACATCGTCGATGCATCTGCGCAAGAAGCCGATATGTCAACCTGAGACCGAGCACATCGGTCCAATCAATCGACGCGAAAATCAAAAATTCAATTCAATATTTGTGGTCATGATCATATTTTACTATCAAATATTTCATCCTAGTTTCAGACTCTTCAGTAGTAAGTATCCACTGGGGTTCAAACTCAAGACCTTGTGGTTGCAAACTGGGCCCATTGGAACCAAATGAAAAAACAAATGATGTCACATATGGAATAATTCATGGAATGTATAGATGTTGCAAGGGGGTGTAAGTCTATAGGATTAGTAGGCAAATAAATAACATTACGCAACGTTATTTGAAATTCGAAAAGGCGGAATTTAACATTGCATAATTTTCTTTTTGATTTACAATGACAAGTAGGACAAGTGAGGTATTACCGGGAACGGTTTAAGTGAGAATAATAATGGTAACGATAATAGTAATTATAATCGTAATAATGAGGTAAAGTTAGAGAGATTAAACCAAAGAAATGAAATAAAAGATAAATAAATGTCTATCCCTCTACGGCCAAGGCGCAGGTTAGAGTGAATTCGACAGATGATCTTAAAATCATGCTCAGGTGTGGTTGAGTGACAGGAGTGGTTTAAAGTGTTCTAGAATAGAGTTTTGCATACCCTTCCTTTCTCCCATGTAAAACCATGCCGCTGGAATATGTTCTCATATCCGTGTGGAAAGCATTATTTGGCTACGGCCAATATACCTTGTTCAACAAGAGCAGGTGTACTGATATATGTACACGGAGTTGGTGAGACGAGGGGGCTTATCCTTTACAGATATGGAGAACAACTTAGCACTGGTGAAAGTCACTTGTGCTTATATGCAGCAAAGAACGTCTTACTGGCTGATTTATTAATTTATGTATTCCCAATTTTGTTTAAATTTCCTCACAGGAAATAATTTCTTAAAAACCATACATGTGTATACACGATTGTATCACATGTTAATGAATTCGTTGAAAAAGTCCTTTTGCTGAGTATTGTGTTCTCTTTGTAATTAGGCAAACATACTCACATGTTTTGTTCCAAAAGAATCAGGTACCTTTTTGGCGATATCCATGGATAATTGTCTTCATATGAACTAGCTGAACTCTTAGAGAAACTTCGTAGAATTCATTTCAGAGTTCATTATTTATTAATATTAAAGTGTTGCTCTCTAGGGATTTGATTGATTGGTTACCGGATTTCATCATGAGCGGACATTGGTTAGAGAACCATTTGAAAACCACCTGTTTCGTCCTAGTTCGGGATTCTTCATCAGTACTCATCCACCACAGGGCGATTCAAACCCAGGACCTTCAGGTTACAAGGAGAGCGAGCTCGTAGACCATTAAGCCACTGGGACCCGATCCAATGACCAGTGCATGAATTCTAACTTCTGACAATTCATGACATAGCGCGACCACTAGCGAATGTCATCGTTGGCGAGTATTTGTCTTCACATCCGACCTGCTGTAGTCCACTGGTCACGACTTCCCACTCGAAGCCAGACAACTACCTACCAAAGTTCGAACTTGGTTGGTTCCAAGTGCAACATACGGATTCACTAGCACACCTGCCTTTTTTAACCTGTTGTCTGCAGTCCGCTTTGGCCAACACTGTGATTGTCCATAAGCTACCCTCTCCAATTCACACAATCTCTTCCATGTCATACATATATGACTGCTGAGGAGCACACACGTCCTTTGGTTAACAGCCAGCTCGATATCACGTCTAGTAAGCCAGAGACGCCGTAAACTGGCATATGCGAAACTAACCTTTTGTATCCGTGCTGAGATTTTGTCAGAGATCAACGCACTAGCGTTGGCTGATACAACTTCCCAAATAAACGAAGTTGTCGCTAACACGCCCAACCAATACCACTTCACTCCACATTTCTAAGCTAGGAGTCAGTGTAGTCCAATCCTGAAGCCCAATCATCTTACATTTGGAGGGAGCGAATCACACACCAAACATTCGAAGATTGCTTTCTGTTCAAGGTGTTCAGAAGTCTATGCTACATTTTGTCAGCATCCTGACCTAGAAGGGAGAACTATATCAACGAGATTATTCCCTGGTGGTCACAGGGCAATCCCTGAGTCGCTGAATTCACTTATGATTAGGTCCATTAGTACGGTATCTATGATGAAATTGAATAGAAATGGGGATAGAGGTGGGCATCCCTAACTGACGAATACCACTAGTTGTCCCCACTTCAGATGATAACTCTCCCTCTGTAGGCTATCACCTGGCTGACTGCATGAGTTCAAATAGAGTGAGTGCCTTGATCAGTGTAATGTATGTGACACTGGTTGGTGCTAGTCCCACCTAAAATTCATGGGCTGACCACTAAGTCATGTCCGAGTAACTGAATAGTCCACGATCTCACTGACCTTATAACCAGAAGTTCATCACTTCAAACTTGGGTGTTGTAAGTCCTGCTAGAGTGTTTCAAACTTTTGAACGAGACAAGGCATGATGTAGCTTGAAGTTGGTTCACCTACTAATCAATTAACATAATATTGTACAAAATTATTTCTTTTTATATTTACAGAATGAGAATAGGTCAATCTGAAAGTAACCTATTCAAAAATGATACTTCACTGTATCAATCAAATCCGAACTTAAAAAATTCACGTTATCGATCCGAAACTGTCTTATCAGCTATTGATCAACGTCAGCGTAGACAACCTGTCGACAGTTTAACCAATTATCGATTATCACCAAATTCTAAATCTAAAGGGATGTTCAACTCATTGAAATCTCTTCAACACAATGATGCTGTCAAGGAGAAGACAACCGATGTACAAGAGGAGGATAGTGAAGTGGACAAATGATGACTGCAAGATCAGACAAATCAGATCACACACACACACACACAACACCTCCTTTTTGTACATAATATTATTACTTATATACACAATCCATAAATTTAAGAACAATGAATGAATCGAAACATTTTGAAGACAATTATCAACAAGGTATAAAGCTGAAGTACAACCACTCATAAGATAGATAGATAGAAATATTTGTGTAAAAATGATTCCCTTTTCCAATTCCTCGTTCTTTTTTTTTGTATCAGACCAGACCACCATTTCATCGAATTGTACTGTCTTTCCTTACGCCGTATTCTTGCCTTGTCAAATCAACAACAATAATGATAATAATTAACTCGCTTTTGATGCTCAACAATATCAATATTTATTGACACATATATGTATCAGACATTTATTACGTTTGTATTTGTCCACTTTTGAGATAACCCAAATTTTTAAAAAAATATAAATATAAATAACCGTGATAAAATTTTTAAGTTTAGGCAGTTGACAAGCTCATATTTTCACTATCTCTTTAAGTCCCTCTATGTATGTATGTGTGTGAGTACCTACGCACGGATGCTTGCATTGACATGTATTCAATCAACTGAACTTTGATGGATAGATTTAGTATTTATCTTTATATAAAAAATCTTAACTATCATCTGAATTTAATTATTTTTACTACTTTTTATCCAATATGAATTTTAATTATCCCGCCAATTTTCTATGCGTTTTGACAATATCTACGAATTGAACAATTTAAACAAACAATATATATTATAAACGCATATGTGTTACGTTACTCGTTGGGATAGCTTGTTTTAATGAGTCAATGCACAAAAATCAACACAAATTGTGGTACAAATTAAAATGTGATCATTTGAATTTAAATTTTGGTTATTTATTTCTGCTTAATTAATTATTTATTTATTTAATAATTTATTAGAATAAATCACTTTTAAAAAATTCATTTTATTCGTAATAAGTAATAATAATGGTAATAATTATAACAACAATTTTGCGAGAACAAAGTCTCGTCACTATCACTAGTAATAGAGTAATAAACACGAGAATTACACCGAATTTATGTAAATTCAAGTTGTAAAAATTTTGTTAAATGAATAATTCGACAGGCTGTCCAATAATTCCATCTTTTCCACGGGAATAAGATGGTACCACTATTCCATATTAGTTTGTTTATTAGATATATCACTCACAGTGAGTGAAACAGTATTATTATTATTTATTGGATGACACAGTTTCCAACGAATTTGTTATTCTTCATAATCATCTCTTCAATTATAATCACACAACTTCGAAATTTCAGTTTTATAGTCTTCTTTGTTCTCGCCTATTCGTCGTCGTTAGGGTAATAGTGTGGTGAGAGCTGGCCGTTAGCCAAATCGGTAGACATTAATTCACGTCAATGTTTATGTCCTAAATATGAGAAAAATAAGAAGAAAGACTTTGCGTAGGCGGATACAGTTAGCATATAGATGATCTGATATTCAAGAAACAGCCACAAAGAGATGAAAGATTTACTTTCAGCAAGAAACAACCAATCAGAAGACTGTATTTGTCTACTAACAATAATCTATAATAATGTACATGAAAATCTATAAATATGTGCTGATTTTCTTAATAAAGGATCTGTTGCCCGGCTCTTGTCTTCTGTTTTTACAGTAGAATTTTCCAGGTGTCCGCCTGAACAGGTGCTGAATCATTCCTATTAACGTATTTGCAGTTGATCCAATGAACAAAGCTTCTGTTATCAATATCTTCCTTCACCCTGTTGTTACATTAGATTTCAAAACTGTCATCTTATCCCATCCATCCTGTTGTATGGTTGTGTGTCATTACATGTAGTGCTATCTATGGCTGAACTATTCTCCAGGTTTCTTATCTCATTCGAGTTAACCAATCTAGATTTGGCTATAGTTTTGTGCTTCTGTAGTCTAACTGATCCTGTTCTAATAATTTAACCTAACAATCATAGTAGCAGGGTATTAGATAAACTAAGTTATCTTTTGGTTAAAGGATTTGATCACAAGCTGACGCTGGTTAGAAAACCATTGGAAACCAACTTGGAGTACTAGATAGCCAGCTGTTTCGTCCTAGTGCTTGGGACTCTTCAAAGCAAGCACCCACCATAGGGGGGTTCAAACCCAGAACCTTCTGGTTACAAGGCCAGCGAGCTTGTAGACCATTAAGCCACTGGGACCCGATCCAATGGCCAGTGCATGAATTCTAATTTCTCCCAATTCACAACATAGCGCGACCACCAGCGAATAACATCGTTGGCGAGTATTTGTCTTCACATCCGACCTGCTGTAGCCCATTGGTCAAGACTTCCCTCTAGAACCCCAGGTAACTCATCGACATTCAAGCATTGTTTTGTAGGAATATTATTGGTTGGTTGCAGTGGGACGTCGTGACCAGTAGGGTAAAGCAGGTTGAAAGTGAGGCAGTAACTAATCGAAGAAGACATTACGAAACGGTCGCTCTATGTCATGAATTGTCAGAAGTTGGAACTCATGAACGGGTCATTGGATGAGTACCAGTGGCTTAATGGTCTACGAGCTAGCTCGCCTTGTAACAAGAAGGTCGTGTGTTCGAACCCTGATGAGCGCGTACTGATGAAGAGTTCCAAACTAGGATGAAACAGCTGGCTGTCCAGTACTCCCTGGTGGTTTTCCAATGGTTCTGTAACTAATATCAGCTCATGATGAAATCCTGTAACTAATCAATCAAATGCCTACAAACCAATACTTGAATAAGTTATTTTTTGTTCGGTGGCTTCCACATGATCCTATAATCGACAAAGCTTGTTTCTGAATGAGTGTTTTGGGATTCTGAATGCCAGTCATTTTGATTCCTGAATGGCTGAAAATTTCCTTGTAAGGTTTTCAAGGTTCCTTCTTCGTATGGATATACCACTGACGGGAACGATTCAACATCTATGCACCTAGATATCTGGAAAATTCTTCTACCCTACGACGACAAATGGCAGAAAGCAAAGAAAAGTATAAAACTAAAGTTTCGAAGTTGTGTAATTATAACTGATGATATGATTATGAACAATAACAGATTGTGTTCTAAACTGCAGGACTAAACACATCACATTAGTTACTTGTGTCCAATCAAAATAAAAGATATCTTTCATATGAGTTTGTTTATTAGATATATCACACACGATGTGAAACAGTATTATTTACTGGATGACAAGGTTTCGAGCAAAATTTATTGTTCATAATCATATCAGTTGTAGTCACACGACTTTGATTACAATTGATATGATTATGAACAATAAATTTTGTTCGAAACCTCGTCATCCAGTAAATAATACTGTTTCACATCGTGTGTGATATATCTAATAAACAAACTAATATGGAATTACTTACTACACGAATGGCCAAGTTTTACACATATAATAATATGCTACGACCATCATTTATTGAGTTAGCTACCTATCAGCTCAGCTGCGTACAGCCTAAAGAGATTGGTATTATTATTATTAGTAGTAGTAGTAGTATTGTTATTAAACTTACCATGATTGCTAATGTTACGTAATGTCACTTGGCGGCAGGAGTATACAAACTTAATACACATTATTCAGAAAATTACACTTACATAGTCTACACCTAGAAAGTTCGAGTTTAAACAAAAACAACAAATTCAAGTGTTGATTTTCACGGATATGTTTGGGTTCAAGATTTCTCCATGAACTGAAATTGGTTAGAGGACCATTGGAAAACCTGTTTGTATTGAATTAATTGTGTCCTCTGAGAAGCTGGCTGATTTAATTGCTAAGCTTTCATCATCCCCCGTCTAGGGAACATCTTCTGCTCAGGTTTTAATTAGTGAAATGAACTTATTTAAATTGTCATGAATGATGGAAGTGTATAAACCAGCTCAGAGAACAATAACTAAATCAATATCATCTACCTGAACTACAAATCTTCTCCATTATCTCAAAACCTGGGAGTCCTGGGACTCTTCATCAGTGTGCACCCACCACCAGCGTTCGAACCAATGACCCTCTCTGGTCACAGGGTGAGCTCATAGACTGTTTAAGCCACTGGGAGCCGATCTAATGGTCAGTGCATAAATTCCAACTTCTGCAATTCATGACATGACACGACTACTAGAGAATGTCATCAATGGCAAGTAATTGTCCTTACATCCAACCTGTTGCACCCTACTGGTCACAACTTCCCACTAGAACCCCACGTAACTACTTACCTGAATAGGGCCAGTCACTAGTGCGTATCAGATTGAATAAAAGTCAATACAAGTCAAAATTTGTGCAGGTTAAGGTTACAAATAAAAGGTAAGAAGATGACGTAAGGATGTGGGATGAGGGTGAAAATATCGATAAGTAAATTTAAAGTTGGTTCTAAATTGGACTTAACAAGGCACACAACACAATTTGGCTTTCATTGTAATAATTCATGCTCTCTTAACTTCTATAAAAAATAATAAATGCTTGAATGTGTGTGATAAAGACAAGACGTGAATAAGATCAATGAATAACTAATCAAGTGAGTCACAATATTGATGAGTTCAACTTGAATCACAAGAAAAAACTACAGATAAGCAAAAGTTACAACATAGTGAAAGGTGGCGTGGAAGAGATTAAACCGAAATGCTTACGTGGAGAGATAAAAAGCAAGAACAAAAATCTATGCAGAATAAAATGGTACCACCATTGTGTATTTCGTTGGCTATGTTCATCAGCTGCTTACAGCTTAAAGACACCTATTAAGTTTGTGTAAAAAGACAATTTTAACATATACATAGAGTTCAACTGTAAACAAAAATTCAATATAGCGAAAATATTCATTCAGATATCTATAAAACACAAAATAATTGAGCAAAGAATATCCTTCTCGGTAAACTCCTCCTCTTCTGGCTCTACAATTATATGCATTTGCATGTTTATATACATAGAATACTCTAGATTAATAGTCAATAACAATATTAGTGTTTTTTTAAATAATATCGATTTGTAAATGTTATGTTCTGCTGCTGAGTGAATTAATTGAGTTTTCCCCGTCGCCAAATTGTTATGTACTCGTCGCCAAATTATTGTTATGGACTGGTCGAGAAACTAATAGTCCTGACGCAAAAAGGCGGAAATCAGAAGACCACTAGGTTTGCGATGATACTTCTATTGTCCAAACACAAGGAGAATGCAAAAGTGGTATCACACCAAAGTGTCACACAAGATTGTGAGAGCGAAATATATATATATATATGAATGTTCAGACAAGGGTGTGAACAAATCAATAGACAGTCTTAACATGAATGGCTAATTATAATGGAGTGTCGATCCAAATATACATAGCAAAATATAGCAGACATGTCAACAACCACCATATATGGATATATGTCACCAAGCAACGGACTGTCAACAAACACTCGTATTATATATAATATAAGGGGAATATACATTGTTAAAGGAGACAGGTTCATCAAAGTGAAATGAACACAGACTAAGCGAACAAACAGAAAGAGAGACCACCATATATATATATATATATATATATATCAGTAAATTAAGATCACAATGGAATTACAGTTCGTTAAAGATGCGTAAATTATAATAATAACGAAGATATAATCGCAAATAGAATATCAACTAAAATTAAGGAATTTTCTACAAAATGTTGAAGATCATTCCCACCTAGATGGCCAGCAAGGTAAGGACAGTGTCTGAACTAACTTCTTTTGGACACATAAATTAGCCTTCTTAATGTAGACTCCAACAGCTAGCTACAGAAATATTTAGTAAACGAACTCTTAAGGCGAAATTGAGATTTGTTGGTTAGTATGCGGTAGATGACTCAGAAAACCACCTTGTTAAAATCAATCTTGTGTTCTGTATTTACAAGATGAGATAGAATAACGCTACGAATAGATTTTGCTTGTCCTTAACTTGACTACTATGCAGGGTGATGTTTGTAAATC